ATAATTAATCTACTTATGTTGTTATAATTTTAATTCTATTATTATTATTATTTTAAAAAAATATTAACTTTTAAATTAAATTATCTTGCATATTTAATTTTAGATCTTGACTCTGCCATTAAGACTAGTCACTACCCTGTGGAGAGGACTACTGCAGCGGAATGGCTAATTGCATGGCCAAGCAGGCAGTTTCATCAAAGCTTGGCCCTACCACACCCTCCGGCTCCGACTGTACTTTTGTAATGAAGAGAATGAGCTGAAGGCCACTGTGTAATAATTCAACATCATATTTACATTTTTAGATAATGCAGTTGCAAGACCATCCGCCTCTCATGTCTCATATTTTTGTCAAGGCGTCGCCAACATATTTATACCTACAAATAAAATTAATGACCCTTCTAAAGTAACTATGCCACATGCTTTTTCCTTCTATATCTCATGGAAATGGGATGATTATTTATAAACATCAAGTAAACAATTGGGAGGTAGACATCGTGATTACAACAAGGATCGTCAAGAGGTTGGGACTAAGCCATACATTGAAACCCCATCTCCGACTAGACACATAATTTTCTCATTTACCACACAAAAAAGAATCTTTGCAGGCGATGTGTAAATAAATTGCCCTCCATTCTTCGCCGTCAATTCCATGCCCAGTACACAACCATCAATTCATCAAAGGATACAACATCAACACCACTTGTAGATTCTTACTTCTTCCCCTGCTCTGCTCTGAATGGAATGAAAAACCTCTCTGCCACCCCCCAAAAAAAAAAACTAACTTTAATAACCAGATAACCCATCAACCATTGAAATTGAAGAAACCCCATCTAACAGAGGACGATAATATTGAGCAAAAAGGCTCCTTTAGGAGCACCTGCAGCTTGGATGACAATGATGAAGGTGATACACAAAACCCATATGCTTCAAAAACCTGTCTCTTCAGTGAAGAGGATATTGAAATTCAGAAGCCGGACTCACCAGCTCTAAATAAATCGAGGCAGAGGACAGTATACGCGAGAGGCTGAAGCGTCACAGAGGTGAAGTGGCAGGAAAGGTTTGGATTCCTAAGATGTGGGGTCAAGAAGAGCTGTCGAAGGATTGGATAAATTGCTCTGCTTTTGATGCTCCTTTTGTGCCCAGTGGGATTATGACGGCACGAGCAGCTCTGGTACAAGAGGCAAAAAGAGCACTGCTCGTGTATTGACAGTGCAAGACACGTATTGATTTTCCATTTTTCAAGAGCATTTAGCTGTGCCTATTCCTGTGGAGGATTGGATAATTAATCTTGACCTCGTGTGAAAACCATTCTGTTACTTTTTGTATTTTCTCAAGTATATGATTTGATGAACAAGTCCTTGATTTGCCAGCCAACAACTTACTCGCCACTGCGGTGATTCCATTTCCTTCCCAAAGAGCTCGCTAAATTAAGCAATCTTATGTTAAACTATATGATTTTTTTTCCCCCTAAATTGTGAAGCAACTACTGAGCCAGAATGCTTTAGTCACGAGAACTACAAAATAATAACCAAGAGCATATAGTTTTAACAGTGATTACATATTAGAGTCACACTTTCCTGAAGAATGCCTGTTAGTAATAGAATAACTTGATTGAGTTCAAAACTTCACTATTAATCTAAGATTTGTTGCTGATTACCCCTCGTCTACGACCGACGCATTTATTTTCTTGTGTGAAATTTGAGGTGTCATTTTTTAGGCTATGGCACTGTTAACTAAGAGCATTATTATCTAATAGTGGCACTGAAGTGAAATCCACCAACATGACATTTTTAGAAACTGGAAAGGGAAGCCTTTTATTGTCACCGCCAAGCCAATGCTTGAAGTGTCTGGCTTCCAAAAAAAAAAAAAATTAGTATTCAGGTTGGGAATCTCGGCCCTAGGCTCCGTTGCACTAAATATACGTCTCTGTCCAGAGCCTTCTTCATCAGCACCAATTTATTCAGACTTGATTGGACGACCAGCCTACATGAAAATTGGAGAAGATGGTCAAATTTAATTTAGGTAAAATGACAATAAAAATTTTTGAATTATATAAATGATAATTTAATTTTTTAAAATGTCATAATTTTATTAAATCTCTAAGAATTTTTATATCAATAAATTTTAAAGTGAAAAATTATTTTATCCTCATTAAAAATAACAAGCTCCAATCACAATTTTTGTTTAAGGAATAACAATTTTTATTATGTTAATTACAAAAATTAGATAAGAAATTAAAACTTATCAAGTGTAATTTCTGTTATTGAAAAGCAAGCCATAGTCACAACTTTTGTTAAGCAATATCAACTTTTATTATATGAATTGTAAGAGTTAAATAAAAAATCACAACTTGTCAAATATAATTTTAGTTAAAGAAAAACAAATTCTCAAAATGATAAGCAATGATCACAATTTTTATTTAAAGAATGATAACTTTTATTTAAAAAATAGCAAGAATTAAATAAGAAATCATAACTTATCAATAAACATAAAATGATCTTTTCAAATTAAAAATTTATTGATATAAAAATCTCTAAAAACTTTAATAAAATTATGACATTGAAAAAGACCATATTATTATTTATATTGTTTAAAAAAATTTATTATCATTTTCCCTTTAATTTACCCCACCTCAACAAAAGCGAGCTGCACGCATATGGCGTCCGAGAGTACAAATTCAGTCATTTGAAATACATCCATTAGCCAGACAAATTCAATTAACATTCAGCAACGTTCATAATAGGACGCCTGAACTACTAACGCTAGGAGATAACTTCAGTAACTCAAACCTCTGAATCATTATATTGTTTGTTGTAATTTTTAAAATAAAAAATTATATAAATATTTATGGTTGAACAATAAATATTAAACGTGTCAAAGACGTTGAATCTAAATAGATAACAAAAAGGGTCCCGAGTTCCCTTGCCATAGTTCACTCAAATATAAAAAGATATAAGGCTTTGATAGAACAAGTGTATGATTTTATTGAAGTGTAAGAAATTACAGACTAAAAATTAAGAATTGAAAAGGGCAACGAATGTAAAATGTGTGAGTCTTGATAAAATATTGACTAGCCTCTTTTGTATTTTTTTTCTTTCTATTTATAATATCAGAATAGTGGAAGCCTTTTTCTTGGAACTTAGCATGTTTTGCCGAAGAATCAAAAATCTTATAAAATTTATGGCACGATCTCTCCATTTTGATAACCAGCCCATTTCACCGAATTATTTGGGCATAAATTTCGACATTACTTAGGATCGTGCCTTCGTGCCAATAGTCTAATATTTATAACTGACAGGATTTCAACATGTTTACTTGTTATGGCCTTTATAGATTTTTGGGGCCAATCTTTTTTATTTATATTGAGTCTGACGCTTTAATTACTTAGCTCAATTAATCTTATAATTTATTTAAACAATGTTTTATATTTAGTCCAAACAATAAAGAATTCACGTACAACATCTTTGCTGTTCTCCACACAAAAAATGTAATCCAGTTATCAGCTGATTTCACAGGCATGATAATATCTCGTGTGGATCAAAATTAAAGGAAAGCATGGTTCAAAAACAAATGAGAAGTATTTGCAAAATTACAATAACGGCTTCTCTTTTGTGACCCCAAAATAATTCAACCAGAGCAAGAGCACATTCCGAAAGAGCATGGTGGTTGAATTGGTCCTAAAACATATTTAGTCAACTTTCTATTTTACCGTGTATCTTGTTATTTATAAATTTGGTAAATTGGCCAAACGAAAAACAAAGTTAGAGTAACATTTAAAATTTCATATATATATATAGTTTAGTTTAGAGGTGTTCACGAGACGGGATGGGACTGAGACACCCTTGTCTCGTGTCATGTCCCAAAAAAAAAGATCGGGACTAAATTTTAATCCTATGTCTCGTCCCGTTTCGAAAGTTATCCCATCCCATTAGGTAGGACGGGACCAAGACAAGATCGGGACGTCCCGTTGTCTCGATAAATGAGATAATATTAGAAAAAGATTTAGATAATAAATTTTAAATCATATAATTTATTAAATTTAAAATCAAAATAATACAAGTACATAAAACACAACAATTTAAAGTCAATTATTGAATTATATTAATCACAACTACACATTATAATAGCAAATATAAGTTATCTTTATGCTATAAAAGTAGCAACAATAGACAAGTCAAGCACAATATCAAATCATTGTTCTTCTATTTTAGTGGAGATGTACTAAACTAATTACTCTTCTGAAAATAGAGTAAGAAATACGTTGTAAATAAAAGCTATTAAATAGATAAATATAAGAATAAATTATATTAATATAATTAGTATATTATAAAGAAAGATATCGTCATGTTTACTCCATGTCATTAAAATTATCAATATAAAAAAATTTAGTTTTAAATAAGAATTACAAGTATTAAAATTATAATTGTTATAATTAATATAAGTATAAATTATATTAATATAATTAATATATTTAAAATGAGAGATAATATATATAATATTCGGGACAGGACGGGACGGGACGTCTCGATAGTAATCCTGTGTCCCGTCTCATTTCAAACTCCTTTTTCATCCCGTCCCATACTAATTATTTTTAAGTTGGGACAAGACCCATCTCGATATAATCGAGAGATACCGAGTCAATCTGATCAAACCTATCAATTTAACCAATATTATCTTATTACTATGAATTTAACGATACTTTTCATGTAATTGGCGAGATTTGAGGGAGAAGGTATCTAAAAGTTAAGGTTATCGATCAAATATTTTTCATTAATGATTCAAGACATGTAACAACGTTTGGCCAAGAAAAAAGACATGTAAAAAAGTTACCCTGTGGCATGATCAATTTAAAATTGTTAAAAATTTAAAGAAAGAAAACATTACCCGGGGGAAAAAAAAACCGGAACATCATTCGCGATGATTCGCTGACCACCACCATTGTCCGGTTCGAGCGAACCGGATGGTTAGCCTACGGTCCGCTAGCGTTTGCAGCCTACCCCACAACATTGGGGCAGAGCGGAGAAGCGGGCGAGATCTGTAACCCTGGGGAGAGCGCAGACACGATCAGTGGTTAACCAGAAAAATTCAACGAAGCTAATCAATCATCCATGGATTCAGCGGCTAGAAGGAGTAGAGGAGGCCTTCTTGAAGGCCTTTACAAAGTCGTCATGCGCCGCAACTCCGTTTATGTTACCTTCATTATCGCTGGTGCCTTCCTCGGAGAACGGGTGTGTCCCCAGTTTTTATTTAACGCTCTTGCTCGTCGAATGCAATCGGAGCGTCTTTAGTTGTGTTGCAGTTTTCTTTGTTTTGTATCTTCAAGGAATTTTTTAAGCATTAGGTGCATTTTTTTGTATAGTGGCAAGCTGAGATTGGAATTATTTTGTTCCTTCCCGGAAACCGATTAATTCTTCAGCTGTTAGGATTCTTTATACGAATGATCCGATTCCTGTTTGTTTGAAGAAACTTCGAAGAATGCGGGTTCGGAAAAGATACGTTTTTATTATCATGTTTCGATCGCGGTTGATTATGGACACAGTTTCAAATATGCTACCGATGTGTTTCGATAGGAAGTACGCATAAGTAATACCCCAACTCTCATAATCGAGGTGTTGGGGGAGGTTGGTGTGGTTTAGTATGGATGTAAGAATATTCAACTGTGTTTTGTGATCTTAACTAGTCCTCTTGGAGAGCATGCTTATTAGGTCTGTTGTGCCTCTCGGTTATCAGGAGTGCAATGTTTTGAAATCCATCACTCTGTTCCAAAGAGGGCTTAATACTTTTCACGATATTTGTTACTTTGTTTATTCACGATAAGAATAATTATGAGATCTGTTACTGGGTGCAGGCTGTGGATTATGGGGTTCACAAGCTATGGGAGTACAATAATGTTGGGGTAACAAATTTGCTTCACTCTTAATATTAGATATTAAATCTTTTGACTTTGAGTATCAATTTGACAGTGCTTACCTTGTGAGAATGATTTGTTTATTTTTTTGCGAAATGTCATTTGATTTCTTTGATCAAAATGATGCTCAATTGCTCATATTGAATCCATTCTTGTTGGTCTTTATGTGCTAGGACTAGGAATGCGATGTTTTCATTCATATCTGCCTTTTCTGTTTGTGTTATGAATTCTTTTCCCATTGAAACTTCTTAATTACTACGTTGTTGAGTTTCCTGGATTGTGTGGCCAATAGGATCCATGATACTGCCTCTTTTTAACTTGCCTACATGCCTAGATCATGATGCTAGTCAACAACTTAATGATGTTTGCAAGTAGCCATTTTTCTCACTGGATTTTGGAACGGGCTCCAATGTCTCACAGTTTACGAATACTTGTTAATACATATAATTTTGAAATTGATGCAAATTTGACACATGCCCTGGTGGCCTTACTTTCCAAAAGAAAAAAAAAACAAAGAGAAAAGGATTTTCATGTGAAGAGCTCGATCTCTTGGGCAGTTGTGACCCTCCATCTATGAATCAACCAAGTTTTATTTTTGTGGTAATTAAAAAAAATTAATTTACATGTATTTTACTTAAATCCATTACTAGGAGGAGAGTTGGGCCACTTTGGAGGTTGAGCTCTCCATTGCTCTACCTGAGGGGAGAAAAATGAGTACCTTTTCTCTGACATGCACAAAATTTGAGACAGCTGACAGAGTGACAGCTATCTTTCCTTAATTCTTCAATTGTCCTGATTGTTCAGAAAATTCCATGGGAGCAAGTTGTGAATCATCACTTCAGTTTCCCTCTGTTTCATGCATATTGCCATGTTGGTGGCTTTTCACGTTTCTTTTTGGGGCCTAAATACATAGCCAATTTCCTCTTTTCCCTATTTACTATAACCAAATATAGCCTAAAGGAGAGAATAACTTGAGATGAGGACAAAAGAGGATCTGGTGATCAGTAAGCACTATTTGATGAGACTTCCGATGTTTGATAGGGAAGGAGGAAATTGGAATGGTTAGACTGACGAAATTTGTTCTGTGCTGCACTTATTACATGGCTTTCTCATCATAAATAGAGTTCCATGTATATGCCCCTTTTAAATTTCCATTGCCCATCTAATGTGTTAGCAGGACAAATTAGTGTTCCCCATTTACCACGCATAAATTTTAAGATTTCTAATACTGTTGTGCTGTTGATTTTTCTGACGGCGACCATCCAAAGTTAATTCTATTTTATTCTTGTCCAGAAACGATATGAAGACATTCCTGTGTTGGGGCAAAGGCAATCGGAAGAGTAACTCGTTGGATTTGTTTGCTGTCTTTAAGGTTCATACTTTTGGACATTTGGAGTGAACCTGATGGACTAGATGCCGATTTCACCATTTTTGTAATAAGTGTCAGATGATACTCACAAGCATAATTGCATTGATTGTTGGATATACAAGATGAGGAACAAGCATCATTTGCTTAAACGATTTGCTCGGAAGCGTTGATGTAGTTTATCCTAACTGTTATTTTCCTTAACACTGGCACTCCGTTTTTGACGCTCGCGAGTTCCAAATGGTGCGAGAAAAGCGGCATTGAAAAGTGAAAAGCGTATGGAATGCCTAGTGAGATGCGTGCCGGACAAGATTCCTCATTCGAGTTTGGGGGAGTGTCGAAATTGAAAGCTTTGTTTTATTTTTTCTCACCACAAATTTGATTCGTAAAACTTGGAAGACAAGCTCGCACAGATTAAAATTTAACCGGCTGTAATAGAGAGAAACAGTTCTCTCGTTTGCAATGCGCAGCTTAAGTTGCTATAGTTTTTTCAATAAAAATCAGAAAACAGCATTGATAACATGTCACCATCATTTCAAAGCTTCGAGCAATGTTAAAAAAAGGTTCACCTATACCTATTCATAGAAAACTTGTAACAGTAATGATATCTTTGACTCTCACTGGAAAAATAGAACATAATAAAATGCGAAATAGAGAAGAAATAAATTTTTCCATCAATCACCCCCTTCTTTTTATTCTATCTCAAACTCACTTTCTGGTTCTCAGGACTCTCATTCTCTGAAGCTCCTACAAGGATTAAAAAACTCACCATGAAACTACTGACAACGCTACATATGGACAGTCATCTGAGTGCAATTGACCCACACAGTCTCAAAAAATTATACATGAGATATAGAAAACTTCTTAACAGAGAAGAAAAAATGAATTTAAAAACTTCTGGTTTAGTAGAAGAGTGGACATATGCCCAGCAGAAACAACAAAACAACACTACTCATAATCTTGCAGCTTCAAAGCAGCTGACTATGATTCTTGAAGGTTAAACGAAATGGCATCTGGTAGTAACCCATAAAGAGGAAGTGGAAACCAGAATTAATCCCAATTTATCCCCACGGGTTTTGCATAAATTAGGAAAATTCACCATTCATAAAGCGGGAAAAAGTCACAGAATTTAGGAGAATTGTCATCTTCCATGGCAATTTCCACATTATCTTTGTGCAAAACTAGATCCTCCACCTGTCTTCAATATATGACAATTCTTATGTCCAGCTAGAGAGTTTCTCAGTCATCTTCGCATCAAGTTTAAATAAGTCTTAATTGACGACCAATTAAATGTTACATTGTCTGTATAATTTCACTAATCAATTTTGTAAACCTTCCCGGGTTTAGAACATATCCAATTAGAGAAAACCATACATCAATTTATTATATGTAGCAAGATCAGATATAAATCCCCTATCCAACATTTCATTTAACACTGACTCTCCCTCCTTTTGATTTCCCTCTCGTGCATACCCTGAAACTAAAATTCTATAGGTCATGCCATCTGGTTTTAAACCCTTTGTTGAAGCCAGCAATCTCAACTTATTTGCATCAGCTGTTCTTCGCATATTACAAGTATCCCGAAGAACAGAATTGAAAGTCACAATATCGAGAACTATATCCTCTTTAAGCATCTTTTCTGACAATCTAAATACTTCTTCAGTCTTCCCCAAGCTCCTTAAACCGTCAATTAATGTAGTGCAAGCAATCAAGCCCGGGGCATTTCCTTGGTTCCACAGTTCATAAATAAGCTCCAATGCCCGAACGACATTCCCTTTGCCGCAAAGAGTTTCCACCAAAACAAAATAATCGTATCCATTGGGCAAAAGTCTCTTGCTAGACAAGTCTGCCAATATTTCACATGCTCGCAAAACCTGACCTTCCTTACAAAGTCCATCAACCAAAATCTCACATGTTACACTTGAAAGCTGACACCCCAATTCAATCATCTCGTAGGCCATCTCAATCCCTTCTTCAATCTTCCGCTCCCTGAAGAGCCCCTTAATCAAAGTATTAAAAGTAACCACATTGGGATTGCACCCCTTTTCTCTCATCTCCTTAAACAACTCCAAAGCCAATCCAAACTGTGAAATTCGACAATAACTACTGATCAAAATATTAAAAGTAAACACATCAGGCTTGACCCTATCTCTAAGCATTTTATCATAAAATTCCAACGCTCTATCGTGCCTTCCGCATTTTACAAATCCATGGATCAAGCAATTACAAATAACCACATTAGGCTTCCCATCAATCAATCTCCGCATACAATCAAAAGCGAAAACAGCATCCTCCAGTTTCCGAGCTTTACAAAACGCGTTAATCACAAACTGGAATATGGATTCGGTTCGAGAGCAAGAGAAAATACCGTCGGAGCAGGGGCAAGGATTGGAAGCCATGAATTGGAGAAGAGCTCGGAGTTCAACCAGACGGTTGGTAACAGCGAGAGTACGAGCCATCCATTCGAAAGTGGAGTGGTTGTGGCGATAGGAGTCAATCGTGGATGCCCAATTGAAGATATGAAAGTCATAGATGGTGAAGCTAGGATGGTGATGGAGCTTGGATTTGAGGAAGTGGAGAAGGCTGTCGGCTGTGAAAGGAGGAGCAAGATGGGTCTTAACGAAGTGAAGGAGGTGATGATAGTGGGGATCGGGAGAGAGAGTTAGAGTAGGAAGTGGGGGGAGAGAAGTATCAGGTGGGGCCGGAGGCGGAGGGTTGGGGATCGGAGAAAGGGGCAGTGATGACGATGAGGGGGATGGTTTAGCAATGGGCCTCAGGAACCGCTTCAAGGCCATTTTTGGTCAGGTTTTCTGTTAGCCTGAACGTCAAGATCAGGTTTTTGCTTGCCCTCCTTTTGCTTTTCTTTTTCTTTTTTCTTTTTGGGTAAAAACCTTCTCACCTTCTCCCTTCGCTTTCATGTCCCGCGCCGAAAAAATGAAACACAATTTGAGAAGATAATCTCGTTGTGAAAATCAAAGGAAAACACATCTGTAGAAAGGGACAGGGGATAATGAAATTAAACGGGCCAAAAAAAAAAAAAGCTTCTCAAGTTGAGGGAAAAACTGTTGATACATGATACGGTCAAAAAAAAAAACCAATACATAATACATGCTGCAAACTCTACACTCCTAAACATTGGAAATAAACTACTTAAAAGATGAGAAAATACACCAAAAGCCAAATGCGTCGCAGAGCATAACAATCCAAGGAATATCTTACCCCAAGAAAATTAAGATTGAATCCGATTGGATGGTGTTTAATAATTATTGTGATTCAATTTTTCAATGCACATGATCAACAAAGCAATCTGTTATACTGACTCAGCCCAACGCTTAAACAATTTTAGTCCTTAACCTGAGTGACATCACAGTCTTGAAAGGCGCTATCAAAACCGCTTTCATGAGATGATACATTCAAAACCAATATCTGGTTTGTAAATGAGGTATAAGAAAGGTTCTAACAAATACAACGATGAAAGAGTCCTAAAATTGTAGCTACATATGCATGCATTGAAATGCACCTGATGTTTATTCACCAGTAGGCATTGTTTTTCGAATCCTGTCGCCTTTTCCCACCCTATTTTTTGTGTGCGTGGCGAACTGCATAAAGGTAACTAATTGGCCTACATATTGTAAAATGATAAAATGATTCCTGAAATATCATGTCCTGGCGTCTGAAAATGCGACTGGACAGCATGCTCAAATCGCAACTGTTAATATCTTCAGAGACACGCATATTTTGATCTTTTTTTTTTTTTTTTTGAGAGAAGTGATAAAATCCGAGTTAAATAAATGCTTCTGTTCATTTCTGACGGTTGAATGACATGAATGACAATACAGATTTCTTATATGAAATACATTCTGTCAAAACCTCATCTGGTTGAAACTTGATACGTAGGTATAGAAAGCAAAACTAAAACTTGTTCGGAGTTACATAGGCAAATTATGATGATTTGCTTCTTATGACGGTGACTGATAGCTTCCCAGAATTATCGCGTATGAGCACTAAGTCGCTGAGACGTATCTAATAGTGCAAACCATTATATTTATTTTCGAAAGTCCAGCAGTGAAAGCCCCGATTTCCTTATGAATAGAAATCGCGGCTTCTAAGAGTTGAATATTGACCTGATAGTCGTTGACTTGTGTCACAATTTTTCTCTTTCTATGCATATTGGTAATAATGGGAAAATGCACTACTGCCATGAGTGAGAATAATAGCAACACCATTATAAATTAAGTAAGGAATGGCAAACACAATCATGGTTTCTCCATTAATTTCTCTTAATTATGGGTTAAGTGGCTTTTGCATTTGTAAAAATTATAATCGATGTATAATATTTGCATGCCTCATCTTGTCTGTCTCTCCGTCCCTGTTCCTTTTTCATGCTAAGATTGACGATGTTGGAGAAGAAGAAGAAGGAATCCACGGTCAGTTCATTTCACTTTCTTACATGAAGCGCCATTGTTGGTATTTTCGCTGCATGCAACAGGACATGTGGTACTTCTATGTTCATTGATCGTTATGTGAACTTGCAGATATATTTAATCTGGTTCCAAGAGAATTGGACGTCAACTTATAACACCAAATGAGATGCTCAAGTTTCAAAATTTTGTTCCTTCTATATATATGTGTGTATGAATATAAATCTGTGACCCTGTTCTAAGTATCTTAAACAGAGGATATCAAGAGGGGGAAGAAAGAAACTGGAACAGATGATGAAATATACATTATAAGGCTAAACTAGTTCAGGTATGCTTTCAAGCGCTGGCTTCCACCCATGAAAACCATTGTGACACTTATCTTCACTCTCCGTCACTTGCTCGCCATGAAGTAGAGATAACATGTTGACGTTGTTAACGGAAATTCCTCCCTTGCGAAGCAGAGCCTGCAGTTCTTGCTTACTAATGACCACCTTAATTCTTACGACGCCGCTACTCTCCTGTGAACCTTGTACCTCAGGATCCTGGAACCTCACCTTCTTCTTAACGGCTTTTGGGGTCGGCAATACGAGGTAGTATAAGTGGCCGGCGAGCAGTTTGGTGTTTGGCTGAAGGTGGCGAAGGGCTGGTACGGAGTCTGAGATTGAATGGCCGGAAAATTCATCCAAAACCTGATGCACTAGAATGGGTGACTTGTATTCAAGAATTTCGCCATCGGGCTTCATGACCTGGACGACGTTGTCTTGCAGAACCAAGCAATTCCCCATGGATTTTATTTAAGATCCCTGTTTTTCGCCGCCCTGAATTGGAGAAAAGTGACCAGAGAATTGCGCTGTATTTATAGCGAGGGGTTATGAAAAAATACCCTCCTAGTGCCTCAAATATTACAGAACTACCCTTTTTGCATTTTTTGTAGCCTGGACGGTTGGTTGGGTCGACAAAAAAAAGATCGGTCCTGTGATCATGAAAGGGATCTTCCATTAGAGATGGACCAAAAAAGAGACTTATTTCTATCTTGATAGGTAGATAGAAATAAATTTTATTTTGATTTATGCTTAAAGGAAGCATTATTAAAAAACTAAATATGGTGTACGATTTAATTGAGAAAAACATAGCATTTTGCTTGATTTTGTTATAAGTGCCTCTACTTTAAATATTAAATAATTATTAACATCAATACGCATAATTAATTAACGAAAAAATATAATTTTAAGTCCTTACACTTTATTCAAATTTTGTTATATATCCTTATATATTTTTTTATATTTTATATTTTTAAATTTTTATTTTTTGATGTTTTGAGTCCCAATAATTTGGTTGAGTTTGCTAGAACACTGAAAACCAAAAATGTAAGGATGTATAACACCAAAAAAAAATGTACAAGGGACCTGTAGCAAAATTTGAATAAAGTGTAAGGATTTAAAATTATATTTTTTCTTTAATTAATTTTGCAGGTTGATGTTAGTAATTAAGTAATATTTAGATAATAAGCTGGCAGGCTAAATAGGTAAAAGGGAATTTAGCGAGGTGGAAACGTACGGGTGTTTGGAAGGTAGAATTGGTTGACCACATAGTAATAATTCTCCGATGGGTTGACTTAAATTGGAGAACGCATTCACATTGACTCTGTGTGTGTGTGTTCCGCGTCACCTGAACACTCAACATCATAAAAGGATGTGGATCACAAGTTGGAAGTTGCAATTTGCAATTTTTCCTTCTCCACTTTCCTCTGTTTTGTGCCTTGTGAATCATCTCTTACGACGCACCCTCCTATGCTGATCTAGATGGATGTCCATGCAACAAAAGCAAAACGACAGTAACAAAACAAGCACAACACGTGAGTTTTGTTTGCCTTACAACATAGTTATATAGGCCTTTGTTTTGTCACGTTTATTTGTCATAGGACTGTTGCCAGTGCTGTATATATTCCCAAAGGGCACGACGGTAATACCAAAACCAAAACTTAAAGATATGTTTCATCCCTTAACGTTTTCTAATCATGGTATATATCAAACAGAGGGAGATTTATCATTCTTGTTAATGGAGTCTTATCTTTACATGGCACTGCCTCATGGGGCCTCGCGTATACGTAGCTTTACAGATAAAAATGAGAAGGGAATGCTACATTAAGATTGTGCTGTCTTAAAGGAGTCTAATTTTAAGAAAAGATGTTCAAATAAAGTCCCTTTTTTTCAGGGTGGAAAATAAAGTGTCTTTAAATTTGTCTCCCTCGTTGCCTCGTTCGTGTGGTGCAGATTTTCTGCTTTTATCGGAAAGCAAAGACAACTTGGGGTGTGATCCCATCATTTTAATATCATATCAAAGATCAGGGTCATGGCTGCTTCATTATTGAGAGCTTGGATGTGTTTTTGCAGGAGATTACCGAGCTCCAGCCAATTTGCAGCTAAGTGAACCAGAGTGAGATTCAAAAAGTTAAAGAGGATGATGACGACGACGACAAATATGTTGGTGGAGTGCTTTCTGAAAACAAGAGATTAGTGGCGTGTGATGTTGTCAACACGCGTGCTTCTAATCACGAAACTTCTCGCAGGTTGCTCTGATATTTATGCTTCCAATGGAATTTTAGTACATTTAATATTAAGTATCCAAATTCGCTTGATCATTAAAATGAAAGAAATTAATTAAATATATAATTTATTAAAAATAAATATGCAAAGTCATAATATAATAATGGAAGCCCAATTGTATTCTGGGCTTATAATTAAACGACATTCCTTTTGGATTATGATATGAGGCATTTTTTAGAAACTATACTTGATTTATTTTTTTTAAATATATTCCTTCTTTATTTATTATTTCTTTTTAAAAAATGATTCATTGAAATTTCAATTATTATTATTAAAATATTTATATAAAGTATTTAATGAAAGTATAATTAGAAATATGTTTACTAGGTACATGCAAAAAATTATCAACCTTAGATCATACACCGGATACCGTATAACGTGGTGTGTGTGGTGTGAGACAGTGTGTGTGGAAAGGGTCGTTGAGGATGTAGATTCCCTTGGAGCAATTTGCTTCCGAGTAGTACGTTACCAGCCAAACCTTGCCTCACTGCGCTATTGTTACCTGAAACTTGCGCAACTTGGCTCCCAATTGTTGCATTACTTAAATGTGTCATCGATCACCTCTTAAAGTGGAACTTCATTATCATGACATGCCAAAATTGCTACACAGGCTTTGCTATATCAAATTGAATAGACACTTTGCCAGTGAAAGTGTCTTTCACTGAAAGCAACCACAGACATTTCTGCTTCTGAAGGAAAATATCATCAATACTATCATTATAGTCTGGGGAAGAAGACAAATCCACTCTCATTTATTTAACCACCATTTGCCAGTTGTTCAAAATGCATCACCCTTGAGACCGTTCAACAGATACATATGAGATCAGAGATCCTATCATCTCAGGATTAAGATTTTTTTTTTTTTTGGTTTGGTCATAGACAGAGCAGTGTTTCTAATATCCACTATCTCACAAAATAACATATTGTTGGTGAGAATTTAACAAAGTGTTAACCGATAGGATCGAGAGAGATGGTGTAAATAGTTGTGTCAGCCTGACGAAGGCAAATCCTTGTGCGCAATGAATCACGATTAATGACCCACTTTCATTCTCTTTTTAGATTGGTGACTATTTTAGACAGACCATTTTCAAGAATGTGATGATTTCGTTGCAGGGTACAGAGTCGGATACCATTAGAACAACTATTCATCGCACGTCTTATAATTATAGCTTCGATATGAGCTGCTGCTGAACACGCCGGTATCTATTAGCAAACAAATTGAGACAAGCAACACAACTATAGACGTTAGTGTCCAAGAAGGAATATGAGGTGCACTCTATAGTGGATAAACCATGTAATAGCACAAGTTTATATGATTCTTGACATACCAAATACTGTTGTAAACAGGAATTATAGCGAAGTTATCCAATAGGAGTAGGACCTAATAGCCCAAAAAAAAGTGGAAAAGGACAATGGACGCCCCGTATGATAAAGAAATAGAAGTTAGGCAGTGAAGCAAGTAGTAGAAATGGATTTGTTTGCGGGTCTGTATCATGCCTGGCTCGTTGCTTTTTAGCGTTGTGTCTTCCTCAAGGAAGAAAGATTTTGTTGTGTGCGTTTAGGAATAAGAAAATTAGACTCCAAGAAGGCAGCAACTCAAGAGGAGTTAATGACAACCAACCAAGCACAAGTGATAGCTTTCTCTCAGTTCACACGCTCCAAGTCAGAAAAACACTCTTTGCTTTGACACGCACAGGAAACCAAACCATTTTGTCCAGCCCTTCCCCTCCCCTTTATGTTACTTTCAGGTGCTCACGTTTTCCTCTTCATGCTTGGGCGGCACCGCAACAGTTCTTTTCAATCTTTTTGTACTTTTGCGGTTTTTCTCTCCTTCGACATTTCAAGATGATTTAGATCTTCTTTTCTTTTTCTTTTTTTTTCCCTTTTAAAGTGAGAGTATCTATTGAATAAATTGAACGAACATAATAGTATTCCGTAATTACTTGTAAAAACTGAAACAGAACTACTGCGGATAATCACATCATATTGCAGCTACCCTGGATTGATTGTGTTTGTGAATTTCAAGAAGTAACCGAGTTTCTCATGTACGTAGATATGGCCACAAAAACATGGTTTGTGCAAAACTAATTTGAACAAGTGAACCTTATTCGCCTTAACAAAATATTATTCCAGAAAGAGACGGAAACGGGGGAGTTTTAAGTGTTGCACCAGAGTGTGCAAAACGGAAATATGGAGAAGTTCTGATCACGAATTTCCTTCATTCTGTACTGTTGATGCTAGCAGTTTAGCTGCAGGATCTTCAATAAGTCGATTATTCAAAGTCGAGGATTCAGTAGGTTAAATATTTTAATTCAAAAGTCTGGCTGAAAGTGGCTGCACTTGATTCAGTATCATTAGAATTTGACTGGAAAGGTTAAATGAACTTGGACCATAGCCACAGCCGCACTGCATCAATATAAAATGAGTAAAAATAACTTGGGAGAATTTTATTAAAAGCTATTGAGTGCGATATAATTTCAATTGAGGCTTAAAAAATTTTGAAATTTCATTGCAATTTCATAGCATTGAAATGAAACAAATTTTTTTGATTAAATGGCCAAAATGTCCTTCAATTATAATTAACATTCTTAAAATAATGTGTCATGTTATGATTTTTATGAGTAATATTACTAAAATAACAAGTTAAATTATAGTTTTTAAAGCAACATTATTATAATAATTAGTTAGGTTAACTGTTTTCACAAATAATATAATTAAAATAATAAATCAAATTATAATTTCTACAAGTAACATTAGTAAAACATTAAGTTAAATTATAATGTTTACAAATAGTATTACTATAATAACAAATCAAGTTATAATTTTTACAAATAAATTATAATTTTTACAAATAAATTGTTAGAATAACAAATCATGTTATAATTTTTACAAGGAATATTATGAGAATAATAAAAAGTTATATTTATTATGATAATGTTACTTATAAAGCTTGTAACTTGACTTTCAATTATGCTAATTACAATTAAATGATATTTTTGTCACTTAAGTAAAAAAATTTATTATGCAATGAAATTTTAAAATTTTTTGAACCTCAATTAAAATTACATTACATTCAAGACTCCTTAATGAAATTCTACCAAAAAAAAATGCTTTCCATATTGGAAATGGTCTTTGTTCAAAACGAGGCTTGGGACAGAGTAAAAAAAATGGATCTATCCTGCCTATCACTCACTCGAATTTCCAACCGTACCCCAATATTATAATCTATTAATCTAATAATGTAAGACTGAATTTTTTTTTTTTCCTTTGACCAACAATGTAAGAATATAGTTGAGGTGGCCTACGATTCAAATCCCAACTTAAAAAAATGTTTTTTATTATCGAAATTAATTAACATATTTTTAACAATATACATAGTCCCGATATGTTGGCATCATTTTGAACAGGGGAAAATAGTTTTCTAGATAAACAAAAAATAATAGTTTTTTTTTTTTTACAAATACGGTCACATGATTCAATTGCCGAATAGTGGTTGGTAAATTTAAAAGGGAGAATTACACAAGAGGACCCAAACCAACATTATTGCATTAAAGCTCCAACACACAAATGCCTCTCTTGCAATTAATTTTTTGTTGTTGTAAAAAGACATAATTTTTCTTTTGTGAAATGCATAACAAAATATTTATAAATAACATTTAAAGTTTATTTATTGATAATAAAATGTTCATTTATTTTACATAATTCACATGGACATGATTTACATTGGTTGAATAAAAGAAAATTTAAAAGTTATCTAGATAAAATATATAACAAAACATTCATAAATAATGTTTAAAATTTATTTATTTTCAATAAAGTGTCCATTTATTTCACAAAGTGGCAATTCCTTCTTTTTACCAAAAAACTTAATTACGAAAGAGACATTTGTTCTTGAGAGATTACTTCATATTCTATTAGGTCTTCAATAGAAATATATTAGTTATGAGAGCCTGCAGCGCAATTCTCCCAATTTAAAATCTTAAAACCAATGAGGATTTCTTTTTTTTTTTTAATGAAAACTGAAATGCATTCAACTAAATGAATAAAGATACAAACAAGAACCTAAAGAGAGAGCCAAATTATTCATCATTTACTTCTTTAATATAACTAAAATCAAGAATGATCAAAGATTGGGGGAAAAAAACTGTTGAGAGTATGTGCCTTTCTAACTAAGGAATCAGTGTGGAAACTACATCCCTATAAACAAGTTAATATTAACTAACCTGTCCCTATTAATTACATTACAGACATTGTAAATAATACCATGAAAAGCATGCTCCAGATGTAGTGATGAGGTTGATTGCTTCAGTGCAATTAGAGTAAACTTCAATCTTCTTAAATCCCTTTGCCAAACAGAGCCCGACCCAAGCCCAGCGCCGAGTTTTGTGGTCTTTCAGCAGTTTCACACATCGACCATTCTGTTCCGCCAGAAAACCAACCGAGTCCGACCGACTGAGATTAAAGTGGAGGCTTATTGATGAACCGGAGTCAGTGAGTTGTATGTTAGTAACAGTTAACCTGGTTGGGTGTTGTAGTGTGGTTGAGGGTGGAATGGAATCCAAGATCAAACTAGACAGACACTGCAGGTATGCAGGCACGCCGCATATGATAGGCAGCTAGTTTGGAGTTGTGTTGTATATTTGCTCTGTTTCTATAAGCATAACAGAAACCGGGATTCTCTCCATGTGCCGTGTGCTTCGTTTGCAGGCTTTTCGCTTTTCATATGCAGTTGCCTTCTTATTGAAAATAACTGACGAGAGCTGCTTCGAGCTCACACCAGCGTCTTGTGTTTAGCCTCAAGTTTCCTCTTGAAACTTGGCTGTATGAAGAAGCCACAAGACAAGCAAGCCCTTGTCCATAGCGGCAGCGTCAATAACCCCCCAACTCCACCCATTCCCTTTAAAAAAAAAAAAAAAATTGCGCTTTTGATTTAGACCTTTCAAATATTAATCTGGCCCTTCCTAATATTTTATTCTAACCCCGCAAATATCCTGATTGCATTTACAACTGCGAGGTTCAACTCGATAATGAAAGGAACTATACAAAATTAAATAGTAATTTGGTAGTTGGGGGAGTGGATGTGTCTAGCGACCTCCTTTTTTGAGACTTATAATTTCAATCGTACAAGCAATAGGAATGATGGTGCTTAGTTGCACATAAGCGATGCAGTCATTCTGCTTGACATGGGACATGATAATTGGCACCCATGTCAAAATGGTATAAGCCATCCAGCGCCTTTGAATCCATTTTACAATACGACTTTCCATTCTACCTGCTCAGATGTTCAAATCCTCCGGCTTCTTGGTGAGACTCAGCTTCGTCATACAGCTATACCTTTCCGAAGTTGAATGGAATATATAACCAAATCCCAGGACCGTGAAGACAGCTTTGACTCCTATTTTTTCATTTTTCAAATAGAAGCAAAGTTATCACATAGTTTCCTTTTTCTAAGCACAAAAATAATTTTCCAAGGAATATTTATGACATCTTTTTCAAATTGTCCTTCATCCATTAATATAAGCTCAAAATTTTTAATTCCAAATATAATTATTAACATATTAATAAATTTTATTAATTAAATTGTGTGAGTTAGTTAAAATTTACTTGATTAATTTGAAGATGAGGGATGTCCAATTTCTATGCCTTATTTTTGACCCACCAAAAATATATCAAAAGTAGAAAAAAAAAATCTCCCTCCCAGGAAATTATTTGATTTAGTCCCCATGTCAAATATATCTAGACCTCAAATTCAAATTGCCTCAAGTTGGTAACATGAATAGGAACACTAGTTGGAAATTGTGTGAAGGAAATGACTTATTTCATATTCATGGCATGGTACTTTATAACGCTATCCCTGACCACCACTGCTTGGAAAAGGAAACAAATACAAGCAAGCACGGGTATGAAGAGTAGTCATTATCAATGAAACTGCCAACAGAAAATTTACAACTGCCCACCTCAAAAACACTCGTATGTATTTACAAAAACTTTATCGCAAAACGAGGGGAGTGAAATAAGGAGCACTATTTGGCCTGGCCATAGACAAAAATAACATGCAGACTGCAAGACAGTAGAAAGCTTAACATTCACCTTGTGGGGGGAAATGGAAAACAGTTGATACCGTTATTCATTGTGCCACGTCACCCCAACGACTGTTTAAAATGAGTTGGGCCCCGCGAAATGTACAAACCACTTGCTCCAACGGGCCCACCCATAGGGTTCGCCGGAGTGGTTACCGTGGCCAATCTATGATGTAGCGTGGATTTCAGAACCACCTAATCCCCACGACTCAGACCGCCTCCCTGACGCGAACCGCATCATCCCATCCAAACCGGGGGGTTCGCTCTCCGATACGCTATTTCTTGGCATCAACTCCGACAATGATGCCTCTTTACCGCTTGCCCATTTATCGTGCGGATGTGTGTTCTTGCTCTCACTTCTTGGAGCCGAACCCACCGGTTCAAGATCGGACTTCTGGACCGAATTTTCTTTGCGATTGGACCGGAACATAGCCCGGAAACTTTCCAAGAAACCGTATTTCCGCCTTCCGCTCCTGGCCGATTTTTCTGGTGTTGTGGCAGATTCAGAGGAAGGCCTTTGGCGATTTCTTAACCTGCGGTTCCGATCCCTCTTGGATTTCACTCTTCCCATACAGGATACCTTAGGCGAAGACGGTTCGATCACCGCTGATTCGGATTTTCCAACCGACGTGCTCCGTTTCGGAAACAATCGCGCGTTGCCCGGCTTGTGGCTTCGGCGGTTCTTGGCGTCCACGAAGAAGGAGGTTTTCTGAGGCTTGGGCAATCCAATGATGGAAGCCTTGGACGTAAAATTCGAAGAGAAGCGCTGAGAATTGGAGTTTGAATTGGGGTTCAAGTTGGTGGAGTTGGAATTGCCCTTGGTGGATTCCTTGCGCTCGTACACAGCGTTGCGATCCCACCAGTCGTACTCCTCGTCCCTAGAGAGCCAGATTGCTTCGGGTGGCGAATCAGGTTTGAGCTGAGGCTGATCCACTTCGGATGAGGGTTATCGTGGTCGGCGAGGGTCTCGCAGGCAATTTTGCGGTCGCAGCTGGATCCGCCAGCACATGCCGAAACGAGTGTTTCTAAATCCACCTGTGGCATCGTAGCTCGGGAACACCAGAATGGAAAGTTGGGAATCGTAAAGAAGCGAGGAAGGAAAAATATCTGGAGAGGCTTTTGCGTGAGTAGTAAAAGAAGGGAAAAACTGATTGTGAGGGGAAGACTTGGAATGCGCGAGTGAGAGGATGAGAAAGATATATTGTAATTTGGAGGGAGGGATTTCAACTGGTTTGACTCGCGCATTCGCGGTGGTTTTGTTTCTTATGCCTTCCCATCCATCTCCTCCCACTCTCTGACTCGTGTTCTAGAATGTGTAAAAGGGCAATTGTTAAACAAATAGAGTGCCATGATTTGTCAGAATATTTCTTTTGTTTCCTCAACACAGAGACGATAGAAAAGACAATTTGCTTTTTCTCTCTTTTTTTTAAAAAACAGAAAGTAACAGCGGCAAAAGGCATGGTATTATATACTTCTTCGATTTTTAATATTTGAAAATGTATTATAATTATTAATTATAAAAAATGACAAAATTAGAGAGTTGCGTATTTTTTGTTTACAATTTTTAAGATATACTATTCATTTTTAATAAACACAAAATTAATTAAATTTGTCTTTGTATTACACACTCACTAACCGGCATGAGTATATACTTTATAGTAAGTTCAAAGACGCAATCGTAAATTCGTACTAGTTAACTACCACGCAGCAACCTCTTAGTCTCTTGCTTCAATAATTATTTGGTGTCTTCGTGGCACGGCCAGCTGTTTGGCTTTTCTTTCTCTTGACAAAAAGTAATGCTTCTCCGAGGACTACTTGAACGCTGCGCATAAGGGAAGCTGATAAAATTAAGGCACACAAGCTCATATCGTGATCACTGGTTAAGTGTCCTGCTCTGGCTAAGCATCCTTGAAAATTAGAAACACGCAAGTTTATTGCACCAGAATTTATTAAATTAATAAATTATGATTGTGATTTTATGAGGTTATCTGGTCAGAGTCAATGTCACGGGGTTCTGTTGCTTTACATTGCAGGCACGCACATTTCTTCCGCCTTTGAAAAAAAGGCTTTGATTTTATCAAGACAACTAGCACGTTTGACATTTATGGGATCTGGATTCCACAGTAAGTTCCAATATTTATTTATTAGCGTGTTCCATTTTTATTTTTTTGACCACCATGCGTTTCAAAAGAAAATAAGAGGAAAACTTGCTACAGTGGACTCTTGCTATGTTCGCTTTTCCCTAATCTGGTTAATACTGCTGGTACAAAACTTCAAACATGCAACATAAACCAACTCTGTGACTTGTGAAGATCTCATTCATCATAATTAACAAAGTTGGATTAAAGACTTTTCTAGATATTTGTTGTTATTATCCCAAAAAATTTGCTAATTTTATGGATATCCTTGAAGTTCATGACCTTTATTGGAGTAATAATTTAACCAAGGTAAACACCTACTCTGAGCTTCTGACTCAATTGAAACTTTGATGCTCATTTAGTGTAATTGCACCCAGAATTATCTTCTCTCAAATATTATCAATAAACTTAGAGATTTGGTTATAAGCAACTGAATTATTATTTTCGACAATATTTTTCGTGAAGCAAATGGATGCGTAAACTAGTTTGCTCTATGTATCTCATGACAATCTTATCACTGCAGTTTTTGTAAAACCATCTTTAAGATTTAGAAGTTTTATATGCTCTGATATCAATTAATCATAACCCCTACATTGTTTTGCCTCATATTAAAAAAAAAAAAAACTTCAATTTGTAGTATCGCCTACTAGTTGTTGTTGCTTTTTCCTTGCTGTATCACAGCCCGGGGGGGAATTAGCTCAATAATCTCAAAAAATACAACTTTTATAAATTATGGATGAAGTTTTTAAATATTTTAAAATACGGCCCATTCATAAAATTAATTATATGTATTTTTTTTTATCCTCAGAATAAATTATTATTAAAACAAAATATATTTGATTTAATTAATCTTTAGTTGATTGGATCTTTAATTTTTATCATCAAAAATCATATTGTGCGTGCTCCTTCTTTAATTTATCATCTTTAAATATTTTCTTCATCATATTTTTGGATCTAATTTTTCTTGATCATCATATTCATCTTTTATACAGTGCTTTTTCTTCATTAAATTTTTTTTCTAATTTTCTTGGATCACACCATCATCATCACAGAGCTTTTTCTCTTTCTCCTTTTTTGTTTTTCCCAAATATTACAGAGAGGACATTAGACATTAAAAAAAAATTTATTACTGATCTGCGATACTATATCAATGATATAAAACAGTATATCAATGATAAACAAATTGGTAAGTTAAAATCACTGATATGGCTTATATATTAGTGATATATAATTTTATATCACTGATATACTATCGTGGATCAACACAACCGGACAATCAAACATAAATTTGTTTATAATTGATATACAGTCGTATATCAATGATGTAATATCGCAAATTAATAACACAAAAAACACATAATCATTTTTTCAAAACAGATCAAACAAAGAACTTTATTTTTGTAATAGAGTCTAACCAACTTCCTCACCTTGGATCTGCAGCTTTAGTGTGGCTTTGTGTAGAAGCTGCAGTTTCAGACTTTTTCACCTTGCATTCTTGATTTTTCAACCTGAATCTGTAGCTTCCATTCTATCTTGCCTTGCATTCTTGTAGTCTCCTACCTGAATCTCTAACTCCGTTTATCTATTGGTGTGAGTTGTTCCATTGTCTACTATCAATTTCTTCATCGTTATGACCGAGAGTGCAGTGTCGTCTCCACATCTTCAGATGAGTGAAAGTAAAACTAATGTGAAAAGGAAGAATCAGGGTATTGTGATGTTAAAGGATAGTTTTATCTTTTGTATTAAAAGTAAATTAAAAAACGATCATTATTTTAATTTAAAAAAAGGTAAATTATTAATTTTATTTAATCATATAATATTGACTAAATTTGTTAAAGTCCAAAAAAAAAAGGCTTCAAACACACTTGAAATATACAAATAAAAACTTATTGGAATGATAAGAAAAATAATTATAAGCAGACGAAGAAGAGAGAGATTGTGGGGAGCCGTAATTGACTTTAAGAGAGACCATGGAAGGAAATGGAATAGATAATTGAAAATTATCCAAATGAGAGGGAATGTTATTATTACTCACAACCTCCGTTCTAAATTAGAAAATGCTTTTAGGGACATTAGGCATTTTAAAATAATATAAAATACTTTAATAAAAATAAAATTTTATTAATAATATTTTTTTAATATTTTTCTTTCCATATATTTTATTTTTTAATATTATTTCATAAATGAAGTATTAAATGATGATATTTTTAAAAGTTTATATTTTTACCTTAAAAAGTAAAGGTGTAAAAAATATTTAATAAATTTTATTAATATATATTATTTTATTTAAAAATGTCTTATACTTTAAGATACAAGGAATATTATTGATTACTTTTCTTTTCTTTGTTTTTTCTTTTTAATTCCCATTCCATGCCGTTTTTATCTGTGAATGGCTTTCATACCAATTGTTGGAGTAGCCAGGTGACTGTTAACATGAGCTGGTTCAGTCTTAATTTTCCAGGTGTAAATCAAAGAAGTTCCATTAAAAAACTAATGAGTTCAAATTTTTGAGTCCAAGCTGACCTTAACACAACGGCATGGGATGAATTCCAGAAACTTGAACATAACGACAATTATAATGGCGGCATAATATTAGTTAAATGCTATAATTAGTGCAGCTCAGCCTGGGAGACGCTAGCTAACGAATATTATGAAATGCTCCTGGTAACCAACAAATTAATGATTATGAAATATGCTTTTCCATTTAAGTTTGTGCATTGCGTAATACGTTCTGATCAACTTAATTGCGTGCGCGCAAATCCAGCACAATTTTCCATCAATCTTGAGTATAGTCCTAGTGTACCATCTTCGTCCAACCTGTCCGACGTTGTATATCGTATGTCAACAAAATTAATTGATCAGATCACTACGGAACCCTCTAATTTAATACCCACTCTATTTAAAATTATAAAATATTTTTAAATAAATCTGATATTTTAAAATATAAGATACTTTGAGAATATTAAAGTTTTATTAAATTAATTATTTTAACATTACTCTTTCTCTCTTTATTTAATTTATGTCCCTATTTCTTTTTGATATATCAAGTGAATGTTGTTTTTAAAAGTTTATATTTTTATTTTGTAAAAATAAAATTGTTGAATGTAATCAATGAGATTTATTGATATGTAATATTTTATTTAAAAAATATTTTATAATTTGAGATAGAGGTAATATGTTATATCCACAAACTATGTATTCCCAAGTTATTGGACTTGTTTGGCTAGTCTTTAAAAGTACATTCAAACCACATTTAAAATACATTTTTGCCAAATTCAATAAATAGTTGGGTCACTTGAACGAATTTTTGTTAGATGTAAATTGAAAACCAAACACACAATTTATTACGCAGTCAAAATGTTATGTACTACTCTGTTTCTATTTATAAAATAAACTTTCACTTTTTACTTTTTTATATAAATAAGATCACGCATTTTAATAAGCATTTATTACATTTCTTAAATTATCTTTTATAATTTATATTAATAAAAAATAATTAATGCATGTTTATATTGATTAACATAAAATATTTTAGTCTAATTTATTTATTTTTAGATATAATTATTATAGTTAAATAACTTTTTTAAATTATATGATATGCCTTTTTTCTCTTTTATATATATATATATAGAAATGGAAGGAGGGTGTACAATCACTGACAAAATTAAGAAGAGAAAATTTTTCTATATTGTTCTATATTTATCTGATGCTGTGTGTTTAATATATAATCCTTGAGTTTTTTTAAAAAAATATATAACTCTCATTTAAAAATGTAAAGTATTTTTTGAGAAGTTAAATGTTAAAAAATATATGATATTTTTATTTTTAATATTTTAAAGTGTAATTAGTATTTTTTTTAAAGAGTGCTCATACTAAATAAACCATTTCAGATTTACTTTAAAGTAAAATACGTTATCAAATAAAAATAAATATAAAAAATAATATTAATTTGAAAATATTTAATTGATACTTAACATACTCTCTTTGTTTTTTATTGTTAGAGAAACTATCACTTTTTAAATTTTTTTTATATAAGTAAAATTGTATATTTTAATAAGCATTTATTATACATTTCTTAAATCACCCCTCATAATTTACATTAATAAAAAATAATTAATGTATATTTATGGTGATTGATATGGACATTTTAGTCTCATCATTTTTAAACATAATTATTATAATTGATTAATTTTTTTAAATTATATGATATAATATTTATATACATGCATACATAAAAGAAGGGGGGGCTTTAACCATGAAACATGCAAGCTAGTTTCGTGTTGGAAAATATACTCAAAATGCATCTGTCATGTCTCATAATGAGGCCTATAATTTGGAGACATCCGGCGCGCTCACGGAATTATTGCTTATAATAATTACTATAATAACAGACATCATATTTCGAGTTTGAGACACACATGACATTGCACAGAATTACATGAATGCAAGCCTAGTTTTTGTTCTTTGTTTTTAATGATTATCTCAATTTCTTGTTGGAAAATGCATTTATATTCGTATTATCAATAATAAAATCATTATTATTCATATTAAATTAATTATTTCTCTCTCCTTTCAATTTTTTTCTGTTCAGCCAAGAACAATGAGAGAAAATTATATCCCTCATATTTTTTTTATTCATTTTTTCTCCTTTCATTTTTTTTTGCAAGCCAATCACAGCACAAATGTTGATTTTAAGTAAATGTGAAAGATAAGTTATAAAACAATATTTTTATTATTTTATCACATTATTTGACAAAGTATTCCGTCCATTTCGTAACATTGTAAGATATTTTTACCTGAATTACATTTTAATTAATTAATTAATTATTTTTAAATTATATATTAATATTATTTCCGTATTTATTACTGCTTCATGAGTGTTTTAATTAGGAAACCTTACTAATTACACTTCATATTGAGGACATGATACCTTATTTTAAAAAAAATTCCAAAAAGAAAAAAAGAACCAAGATTCCTTATTTTTTTAACATAATATTTTAAAAAATACCTTATTATATTAAATGAAATGAGTATACAAGTAATAAACAGAATATATTAAGTATTTCTCTGCTTCTATTTATATGACAGAAAGAAAAAAAAACTTGATTCTATCTATAGGGCACTTGTCAATTTTTAATATCATTTTTTATATTTTTATCATTATTAAATACTTTAAATAAAAATATCAATAATAAATTTAAGAATATTTATCAGGAGTAAAAGTAAAAACTTATTAAATTTTAAGATAAAATTAATAAATTTAATACTTTTTTAATTATAATAAAATATATTAGAAGTGATTTATAAATATGATAAAAGTGAGTACAAATAAGTAAAAGTTTAGTTGATATGACTCTTTTAAAAATCCAAATTAACTAGACTAATTTCAGTTTAGCTAGCTTTAAAGCTAACTTCAACAGCTAGCCAAAAGAAGATAACTTCAAGATTAGTGCTTGCCTTGCCTGGCTTGCCATGCTTGATTAAATAGCTTAATTAATGAATAATCTGAATTTTCGACTTCGAGATCAAAGGAGTCCGAATCGAACTTGTATTTGGTTGGTGCAGGGTAAATCCTAAATAACGGACCTGGATATTCGATTTATTTAAACTCGTCTGATAAGCTTTGTCTCGTTGCCCCAAAATTTTAATTAAATTACCAGTTCTTGAGCAAATTATCTGGGAAGCCATGTCACTTTCGTTTTGTTTTTGTTTTTGTTTTTTGTTTTTCGGGCGACCAACAAGAAGCCATGACCCTTGAATCCATCGCGGCCAAACAGAGCTTTTGTTTCTAGAAGGTTGAGCAAGAGGAGTTGTTGGCACAGTGATCGCGTGTTTCTGTATTTAATTAGTTCTGTGAAGGCAAAGTTGAAAGAATCGGATGCGTCGTTGGGGTCAAAATCCACTTGAACTAAACCCTGGGGTTGGGGGAAGAGTTCAGCCTAACATAAGTATTTAAGTTTATATTTTTGTGAGCTAAAAATATAAAATATTTTAAGATATTTGTTTTTATTTTTTATTTTAATATTCCATGAACATATTTGGAGTTACGTGGAGAGATTGAGGCGTGAATATAATGAAGATCGAGGATGGGTTAGATCCGTCTTTATATATAAATTTTTTTTAATTTTTTTTCTAAGTATAAGATATTATTAACATTTTTTTAATAAATGAACCATTATATCCTTATTAAATTACGAAGAGAAAAAAATAAATACTCTTATTAATTTATTTTAAAAAAATTATTTTTTATTTATAATAATTAAAAATAAAATTAAAATGTTGTTATAATTTTAATTAGATAATTAAATTGTATTGATTGTATAATTTAATTAAAAATATCTTGTATACAGCAACAGAGGGATTAAAAGTTAAAAGCCACAACCGTGAGGATAAGGTGGATGGCGGGCCGGGAGTCGCAAGCTCAGGGGAAAAGCTTCGTTGAATTCTATCCATTCATAAATGACGAGCTTCTAGAATTGTTTCTCATTGATTTAAGTTTCTTCGTTGAATTCCATTCATTCACTCTCACTTATCTAATTCTTGATAGCTGGTATTTCTGCTGAATTTCATGTTACAACACTGTATGCGGACACACTATACTTTATACACACTATACTTTCTCTTGGCAATAACTGCAAATTTACATTATCTAAATTTAAAAAAAATAAATTTATTAACACTGTCTAACCTTTACAGTTTTAGTTTAGCCCTCGCTTAACCTTTATAAATATTTAATAAATTGTATTATTTTATATATTAATCCAAAACTTAAAATAAACTATACAAATAAAGTTACTAATACACACACACAAGGATTTAAAGATTAGCTTGAGTTTTTAAGAACAAGGCCTAAAATATCAGCCTTGGTCATTGAATTGCATTTGATTTTTAGGACTTTTCACTCCTTCTCACCAATTTTTTCAAGATTTTATGACAAAAAACTTTTGATATGCATTAATTGAAATATCCTTATTTGATTTTTTTTTTTTAAAAAAAAAAGCTTTGGTGGCCCCTCTTCGTCTTCCTTCATCTTTTGAACCTTCGACGGAACTGGTGCCCTTGCCACCACGGGTGCATGTGACGCCATCGGAGCATAAATCCTAGGAGGCGGCACAGACTTACTTGACGCCGCATAGGCAATGCTTGATGGAGGAAGCGGCGCGTGCTCTTGACTATGCGGTGGCAGTTGCTCGTCGTTGCAGCCACGCACAGACCACCTCGCTTCACGCTGTCTCTGCCTTGCTCGCCTTGCCGTCATCCAAGCTTCGGGAAGCTTGCACGCGCACGAGAGCTCCTCCTACTTGCGGCGTCTGCATTTACGAGCTCTAGAACTTTCCGTCGGAGTCTCCCTGGACCGATTTCCTTCTTCCAAGGCGCTCAAGGGAGATCGTCCTGTGTAGAATTCTCTCGTGGCCGCCATCAAACGATCCCAAGCTACCCAGAGGAGGCATTCGGAGGTCTTCAAGTACGTAAAAATCACGGCTTTAGTAGGTTACTTTCCTAGACCCTAGTTTATTTTAAGTTTTTTTTCCCTGTTCTATCTTTCAAGTTTTGTTCTTGCCTGTGCTATTCAAAAATACAAAAAAAGAATCAACAATAGCCAATGGCCTCATTCTTGAAATCACCACCGGAGCTGTCCGAGAATCGCAATTGTTGTTCTGTATCAAGTGGCTTGGCCTCCTTGTCTGCAATCGAAAGTTTTTTCCACAAACCCAAAATTTCGGGCTTTTAGATTGATATAATCCTAAAAATTATTGCTCTGTTTTTTAAGCTTTGAAGCTTGATGCTAAGAGGAAGATGAAGAGGGAAATGAAGAGCAATCGAAACTCTTTTTTTTTTTTTAATAAGGACATTTCAATAAATGCATGTCGAAACTTGTTCATGAGGAAAGTCTCTGGCACTTTAAAATTATTTTTATATTTTATGAAACTTTTTGATAATTAAAATTTTTCTGTGGAACCTTGATATGATCTCTGTTTTCATATATGGGTTAAGTGAGTAATACAAGTATACTTACTTAATAAATGTTATAAGTAACACAATAATAATTGTTAATTTAATTGAATAGTTTTTAAAAATTTTGTCAAACGATATTACAAAAATATCAAATCTTAAATTTTTTTAATGGATAAAGTATTAAAAAAGTGTTTTGATTATGAAAATTATTTTAAATTTTTAAAGAAAAATATATTATGATAAATTTTAAGCAAATGATATGATATGATTATAATTGAGATGTTCATTAAGTAAATTGATAATCATTTAGATCCGTCGCTCTATTCAAATCTTACCATGAACTTTTGGCCTTGACTCTTGTGTTGTAGTTGGCTTGTAAGGGAAAATAAGAAAGAGGAAAAGAGAGGAGAAATGTGAGGGATGTAATTTTCTCTCCTTATACTTGATTGATCAAGAGAAAATAGAAATAAAAAAATTATTAATTTTATATAAACAATAATAATCTTATTATTTACAAAAATGTTTATGTATAATTTAATTTAATTTAATGATGTATTATATATTTAATAATTTATATCATATACTATTGATTAAATAAAAACATAATTATAAATTATTTTATCCAATACTGACCAAAAATCATTTTATTCAATTTATAATTTTATTTATTAAATTATTAAAATATAATAATTTTAAAATTTTAAAACTACAACCAAATATAAGAAATTTAACTAAAAAATTATAATTATCATTTATCTGATTAATCTTAAAATTAAATATATTGCTTGTTTAACAAAAATCCATGATCAAAATATAATTATATTATAAATATAAAATTCAAAAATTGGTAGGTTAATTTAAAAACAATTTTTTCTATTTATTTTTTTATATTTAGAGAGAAAATTTAAAAATAAAAATATACGAGTCCTCCATCTACTTTGGCTCGAATTACGTTTCTTAATAAGATTAAAGTGTTGAATATTGATGATGGTAATAGGAATGCATGTTTTGTAAAGAAAGGTATTGATTGATGACTTTGATTATGTTTTGTATTTCTGTTGGTTTTTGTTGTTATTGGCTTTTTATTTTTGTTAAACTGATTATTGTATTTTTTTTTTTTATGTGCCTAGGTGTGTTGGGTTGCATGTGTAGATTTTTTTGAATTTTTTTTTTTTGGATTTCGGCTATTAGTATTTGTAATTGTTTTTTTTTTTTTATGATCAATAAAAGTGACTCTTTTTCTGACTCTTTTTTTCTTCCCCTCACTCTTCTCTTTAAATCCAAGAGCGGGGAATATGTTGTTGACCCTCCTCACTTTTCTTCCCCTTACCTTTCTCTCTTGACAAGCATAACATTGAGGCCGTGGACTCTAAATGATAAAGCCCTGTCGGTGGTCCGGGCCTTAGCTAAAGCTTCCACACGTTTTCTATAGCCCCACTCCCACCAGCACACATGCCGCTGCCGCCAGTTAACTTCATAGTTGACATGTCATTTGTTTCTGGCATTTACTTCACAATTCACATGCACTCTTTGATTTCTTTCACTATTTCTCTACGCTCTCAATTTTTTGTTGGGGTTCATACCTCTGCAGACAGTTACGCTCAGAAAGCAACTTTACTGGATAGCATTATGTTGGGGGAAAAGGAGGACAATGTTGATGAAATCGTAAGTTCCCTTCTGCTCAAGTTAAACACGAATCTCGCGTAACATACTGTTTAAAGTAGGGGATCACTGTTGACATTGAGGGCACACCCTTGACTCTCCCTGTTTAGTTCTTGTTATTGTGTCTGAACTTTGAAGAAACTAATTTTTGGCTAATTCCATATTGGCTGTTATATGTCTTGTGGTTGTAAATGCTATAGGGTTTTCTTGCTGATATCATCCTCGGCTTCTAAAAATTTCGACTGAAGAATGAGTTGCTTTGATTTGGTACTTTTAGAATTGGACTAACTATAATCATGTCCCGTGTCTCTAATTATCCACTACTGTGCATTTCTCTAAGACATTGAGAAGGATGGGTTTAGCTCAGAATGTGTACTACCGCGTGTTCATCAATAACTTTCCTTTTAGTTTCATTATGCCTAGTTTAATTCCAGATTTCGCATATTTGGATGATGCTAGGCCATGACCAGTACTAATATCAATCGCTTGGTTTGTCTAGTTTTCCTGTAGACCCATGTAATCGGTTATGGTTGCGTTCTGGATGGCGTTAATATTGGATACCTACCATTACAAGTTCTGATAAATAAGTGATATCATGTAATTCGTTTAAAAGTCTGGCCTTTTTTTTTTTTTTTCCTCTTCCTTGTTCTTTTCCCTACGTGATAAAACTAATCCTCTATATATCTCTGTTCTGATTAATAACTGTTTTGAGTCACAAGGTTCTTATTCATAGTTATCTCAAATATCTTAATCTTGAACTCATAATTATTATTTTTTTTAATTTAGGTTAACTGATACAGTCACAAACAATAGAAGAATAGAAATTAAGGTGAAAAATAAAGCATTGCAGTTAAAAACCTGGTCTGATCTTCCTGCATAGCTCTTGGAATTGATTTTGTCCCATTTGACCTTAGTAGAAAATGTTCGCGCTTCTGTCGTTTACAAGAGATGGCATTCTGCTGCCTCTGCAGTATTGTAAACCAATCACCATGGCTTATGTACTTTCCAAAATTGAGCAACTGATATGAATTCTATGACCCGGTGCACCGCAAGACCTATTCCCTGGAGTTTACAGAGTTAAGTGGCGCCAGACTGTGTTATGCTAAAGATGGTTGGTTACTGCTATACCGTCCCAGATCTCACCGGCTGTTCTTCTTTAATCCCCTTACTCGGGAGGTGATTGAACTTGCCAAAATTTGAGTTGACATACCAGATAGTAGCCTTCTCTTGTGCGCCTACATCTCCCGGCTGTGTTCTGTTTACTGTCAAACATGTCACTCCCCTTATTGTGGCTATTAGCACACGTCATCCTTCGGCCTCAGAACGGACAACTGTTAACTACCAAAACCGCTTGCCCTTTGCCAGTAGCATATGGAATAAGGTAGTATTTTGTGATGGGCTGTTTCACTGTCTGAGCTTCACAGGAGGGCTAGGGGTGTTTGACTCAGTTGAATGTTCTAGCGGTGCCCCCACCCAAATGCCCAGAGAATTTTTTTTGCCAACAATTGGGGGAAGGGAAAATTCACGACGGAGCATGAAGGAGATATGTTAGTAATTTATACGTGTTCCAGTGAATAACCCATTATTTTCAAATGTGGATCAAATAGAGATGGAAGGGGAAAAGATGGTTATACTTGAGGGAGCAGTTGTTTGTGCTAGTTTCTTGTCATCTCATTTAGGGCTTGTTTAGTTGAAAGAAAGGGAAAAAAAATTTTTAACACCTTATCCCATTGTCCCATCTAAACAAGAGAAGGGGAGGGGGTTTGGTAAGGTGGAGAGGAAAGAAAATTTTTTAAATTATTCAAAAATATATACGAATTTTATTCACGTCCATTTTTATTATTATGCATCTTATTTTTGAATTAAATTATTCAAATAAATTTCATTTTGTTCAACTCATTTTTACAGAAAAAAATATTTAAATATAATTCACGTTAAAATTATAAATTTTTATCCTAGACTCAATTTGTTAACCTAAATTGATCCTAACCTTACTTACAGATTGCCCCCCAAACCCAATGGTAGAAGCTGTGCACCAAGAGATTCCATGCTCCGAAGGGGGTTAGTTTAACACTGCGAACAACATTTCCATTATTGGCCAATGACTAAGCAATTGATACTTTGAATTCATCCCAAGAACCTCGAACCTTATTGTAGATTGGGTCATCTGTGCAGCAAGGGTGATGTGCTCTTCAGATTGGGCTTCTCAGCCCCCACCCCGCCTAGCTCTATCTTCGGTTTGGGATTTTGCTGATTATAGGAGTTTTTGCTGTGAACTTGGTTAAGTTTGGACACTAGTTTGTTTGTTTGTTTGTTTTTTTTTGTTTATCTTGCTTTTGTTATTTTCGTTTGGTTTCTGTTCTGACAAGTCTCTCAGTTATTGCTTGTTTGGAATGAAAGTACTATTTTCTTTGGCCCAAAAAAAGGCATGGATTCAATCAGTCCAACAGGAGTCGCACGCGTTACTAGATGGATTCTTAACTCTGCCTTCTAAGCCTAACGGCCACATACTCTTCCTTTGTTTTGTTTTTCGTTTTACCTATCGATGATATGTTCTTTCTCTGTCTAACGAATATTGTCTTTTCTTTTATACTCGTTTTTAACATTGATGCAATCACAAATTTGTACCAAAATATCTAATCCGTAACATAGCTTGCGAAAGAAAGACACAAGTCCATGGACCCACTTGAAACATGACAAACAATTATATGAAAAAAAAACGGAAGATGAGCTCAAGCTAGTATAATCGGTGATTTTATGTACCAAGATAACCGAAACCAACTTCGACAGCGTAGCTACCATACACTGTCGCTGACTCAACTCTAATGTCTCCCCTCTTTGCTGTTTTACAAAAGATACAGAGGGCCTTGCAGCACCAGAAAATCTTATCCTACCTCATAGGAACAAGTGCTTGAATTCTCCATTTGCAAGATGGCAAAGCTTATTGTAACTGAAGGTATCTGTTAACAGACCCAAATAAATGATGGTTTGATAAGTAGAACAAGGAAAATTTTAAGAGGAAAGAAGAGAAACACAGCAAAATGCACAATTGCTCACCCATAAACTCAAAAGACGAGATTAAGTTTGCAACTATAGTAACTAAGGGAAACTGTCATCGTTGACTGAAGATACAGATACACATGGTTTCTCGCTACGAATAAAACATGAACTACAAATACCAAACACTTTCAAGCTCCACTTTGAATCATGAGTAATCTTCTTTTCCGCCATTTAAACCTCTAAATTAAAGCCTAATGATTAGATCAAGCAGAAATACACTTATAGTCCATGAATGAAATGGAATTAAAAAAAAAAAGGAATTTTGTAATGTAAAACATCCCTTATGCCATTTGATGAGAGATTAAAAAAAGATAATTATTATTAAATAATGATATAGATATTATATTATTTCCATTTGTGTATTAAACAAAGATTACATTTATGATTTACCATGTGTTCACCAAACAAGGGTGTTAATCTGGTCTTTAGGGCTTTTGGTTTTAGTTGTTTCCATCTAGGTTGATTTGCCATTGTCCATGCTTCTTATGGTCCCGAGTTAACTAAGTAAAAGATATCAAGGCCATGGCATATTGCAACTACCAGCATCAATATATCAACAAAGGTTATCAAATCGATAATAAGCTGCACTATTCATAAACTATAAGCTCATCCTTCAAATTTCATACGAAGCGTCAGGAAAAAAATTGTACAAGGCATGAGAAAACACAGCCTAATTATCACCAAAAATGTGTAGAATAGCCGTGGGAAGAAAATAGTACCAATTGAATCACCAAAGTTGGTCCATATCTCAGCACGAATGGATCTATCGCTGTCAACTATGCCAATAACTTCAACAAAATTCGTGAGAGCACTCGGGGGGATGCCCTTTACAACTATCTGCTTCTCATCAGTTGATTTTCCAATTATAGCTCCTGCATCAGATCGAACAACTTGCACAACAGCCCTCACCCTCCGTCCAACATAAAACCGTAGCAGCTCTCCATTGACAAAGACGGCAGGATTTGAAGTATCCATATTCTACAGAAGACACGACATGTCACCAAAAAAAAAAAACACCGAAGACATGACAAAATGAATTGTTTTACTAAATTGACCTGTGCTATAAATATGTAAAGAGATCACGTTTAGCTATAAAATTTAGCAGGTCCCGGATGCATGGCCATTACTTAGAGCCATAATATTTAGAATATGAACACTCAACCTGGAACATCCTTTGCAAGAAAGATGGATGATTTGTTCATTATTTTCATTCACTTACATGGCAAATCGTGATGAAATGGCTCTCGCTTTTTTCCCCCCAAACGATATGCACAATCAAATTGAGCACAATAGAAAGCAAAATGACAATACAGAGCCATTGTTAAAGGCATTCATAACTGACGATTATCACCATGGGAACCCAAAGTTTCTTTCAGAAACGCAAAAAATCTTCAACCACTAGGAACTTTCAGAAGGAATCTCTGAGACCGAAAACAAGCAGACAATAATTTCCAGGCCTGAGAAACATTACTTGACAAAAGTGACTACTCAAAAGAATCGCTAGCTCCATTCTTCAAGTTCAAGTTAAGACTCTGAATCCATCCCCACAGGAAATTTCATTAAAATTCCCCGTCATCCGACAGGATCATATACTTGCAAGGACAAGGTTATGAACTCCTTCAATTGAGAAGAAGCTAAAGCAATGAAAAGGCCAGGGAAATGGAAATGAAGGTCCCATAGAGCAGTTATATTCCCTTTTTTATTCGAACATAACAGATAATTCACATAATGTTCCGTAATCACAAAGTCAAAAACACGACCACATTTCTCTTCATCAAATTCAACAAGCACAAAGCGAACGCTACTTGCGATAAGGCATTTCATAGCTGTAACCATAAAACTCAAGAAAATCTCCCAAGAAAACTTGTAACAGATAGGAAGTGGACATCCATTTTCAAAGAACGGATGAAGAAATGCGACGAAATGTGAAGATAGAGAGGGAAAATAGACTTTAAATAGAGTTTATTTGTAGCTTATAATCAAGTGACAGAAAATGCATCGAAGACGAACAAGAATTGTTCTCACCCGATTCAGAAGCCAGTCGCAGTGACGAAACAAAGCGCCAGGGTAGAGGGAATAAGCTCCCTGGAGGGCTTTAATATGTAGGGAGGGAGCGCGGTTTCTCGAAGGCGGCGTTTCGCGTACCCCGAGCCCCAAGGGCGTGGTGGTTACTACGCGGATGCTGTATCGAATTTAATTTTTTTTATTAACATTTTACTCCTTTTCATTTAAAATATACTCCATTTATTTAAAAATATAAAATATTTTTAAAAAATTAAATATTAAAAAATATAAAATATTTTTAATTTTTTAAAGTGTAATCATTATTCTTTAAAAAAATATCTTTATTAATAATAATTTAATATTTATTATAAAGTATTTAATAGAGATAAATATGAAAAGATATGTTTAATTGAAAAGTAAGTAATTACTTTATTAAGAGGTGAGATTCAATTAAAAATGCCTTACATTTTTTAATAAAAAAGTAAGTATTTTTAAAATTAATTTTAATTTAAAATATAAGTAAGTTAGTATATATAATTTTTTTTCATTTTACCTTTTATATTTATTAACTTGAATCTTTATATAAATGTATTTCTTGCTCATCATAAAATGAATTTATAATTGGGACTGGAAATAAAAAGGAACAACTAATATATATTTTCCTGGTAATGACTAATGAGATTTTTATTGATATAAGAATTAAAAAAAATTACTTATATTTTAAACTCAAATGTTAATATTCAAAGATAGAGGTTAAATTTGAAAAGGAAGTTTTACAAATTTAGTCCATATCATAGGACTAAATAAAAATAATAGCCCAACTTTTCTTAAATTTAAATAATGGCCTTTTAATATTCATCTAAATTTTAATTAACAAAATTACCCTTGTAAAATTATAATGCTTTAGTTTTTGCAAATGCTCGAAGACCCTAAATGTAAGAGAACATAGTAGACAAACGAAGACTTAAATTGTTCATAATTTTTTATTTTATTAGTTTAGGTATTTGATTATTTGTGATAAGAGTTTAAAAAAAATTTACAGACTGTGTTTGATCCATTTTAAGCAAATAATTATGTGTTTTTCATATTATTGATATGTGATACTATATCATTGATATAGTACTATATATTAATTATATACTACCATAGATTAACATATCTAAATAATTAGTTATAAACTTATTTATCATTTATATATAGCCGTATATTAATGAAATAATGTAAGATCTTTCTTACTAATCCACAATTAACCCCCTAAATCAAGGTAATTACTGGAATAACCAAATGAATTACCAAGTTTGTAAAATTTTTATAAATGAGATTCTAAATTTTCAAAATTTAAAATGCTATAAAATCATTTTAAAAAATAAAATCCGAGCAAAACATGCATACAGAAGTATAGACATCATATAATATAAGATAACATCAAATTGGGGTCAAAATAACACAAAACTAATTCTAGCATAATTACATTGCAACATAAAATTATTGCAACATAAAATTTTATGCTGCAGCATAAACAACAAAATGCATGACAGCAGCAAAAAGCTGTTATGACAGACTTCTTACTTGAACTTCCGACACACATCAAATTTTTAACCGACGTTTGATTAAGGTGATCTAGGTGTTCATAAAAAGTACAATCAGTGAACTAGTTAATGACACTAGTCTTATTTACAAATTCTATCATATTAAAAAGTTGAACACTCAAAACTAAAACTATTACTTTCTCACACTTCTCAACTTCCAAATTGTCTAAAACCTAACTCAAGTGCCATTAGCCTACACAATCACCTAGATCATACTTAAAAAATTTAAGATAACTTGTGCAACACACTACAATACACATATATACCACAGATCATATTTTTACTTATCAATCCTAAATTCATCAAAAGCAAAAGAAGGAGGTCATTATCATTCAAATTATCCAATTACACAATTACAATTCTCAAAATAGCCCTAAACATACTCGCACAATATTTTGGCCTCGAAGAAGCATATTTAACTCATAAAAACTGACCAAGAGCATTAAAACACCAACTAATAATCACATATGAATGTAATAGTATAAGTGATTAACGTAATTATCTTAGTTGGCAATATCATGATGATTGCATATTAATCAAAAGTATTTGAGGCATTACAGTAGGAAATCCAATTTCTAAACCTCATATGTCTTTCCCTTGTCTTGATCAAAGCTAGCCCTGTAAAATGTTAAATGAAGGGTGAGTACAATCACTCAATAACCAAGTTTCATCTAAGTTATACAGTTTTATATTAATTACAAGTAGATGAAATTGGCAATAAACACACACATAAAGCATGTATGACAATATATAGCCTCAGCTACAATAATAACAACCATATGATCGGGCTTCACACACATAATCATATATATAACAATAATACACAACTTGAGGTTACAATAATACCAACCATACACCCTTAAACTACATTGAACCATAATACTAACAATTATATGGTCAAGACTAAATGTATGATCATATGCCAACCTTATACCCTTTTTGTTACCCCCGATATGAAACCAATTGCTAATACGTGGCTATATTTTTTACGGACTAACTTAGCCTTTCACTTGTGAGGAGCTACTGTAACATCCTAAGTTTTAATCCCCTGATTAATTAAACCTAATTAGGCTAATTAAGTAAGTTGAAGTGGTGTGTTTTCAAGGAGGTCTAACAATCATATTTGATTATATTTTAGCCTTAATTGTGGGTTTGATATTAAGGTGAGCCACTCAGGCATCAAAAGTTGAAGAAAAATAAAGAGTGATATTGTTGTGCCACATGCCGTAACATGGAGATCGTTCACCACGCACGGACATTTCAGATGCGAGGAGGACCTCTTTGTGTCATGTACCACGGCGCATTATGCGTCTGCCGCAACGCATGGCCATTTTTTACAATTTATCAAATGTGAACCTGAGACAAAAAAGAGATAAGAGAAAAGAGAAAATGGAGAAACTCACATTTGCTCTACTAAGGCATGACTTAGGTGAAAATTTGAGAAGGTTTGAAGCTCTAAATCATCCAAGGTAAGATTCCTAAACCCTTTTTCTCCTTTCCTCTTCCATTTTCTCAAGGATTTAAGTTAGGGATTAGATGAGAATGGTGATTTTGATCCATATGGGGTATAGATCCAAACTCATTGACTCAAATAGAGTTAAAGAAAGTTGTTTAGAGTATTTAAACCTAGTATAAATGATTTTGGTGATTGTTGGATGTTGGGCTTCATTAATGTCCGAAAATAGATATCAATTTGTTACTATTGTAGTTGTTGAGGTATTAATAATAATGTGACTGTTCAATAAAGTTATACGATGTTACAGATAGATAATGAACCCTATGAATAGGCTCTAACTCATGTAGAATGAACATTTGATAACTTAAAAGTAAAGATTGAGGGTTTAAATGCTTAAGTTGGTCATGTTGATGAAATTCAACTTGATTAGTTGTAGCGTTTGGCTCTTGATCACCTATTTGGCTAGAGAATTCAAGCTTGGAAGCTACTAGATTGAGGGGTAAACCTTTGACCACTCAAAGGTTTGAAATAACTGGGAGAACCTTACTTTAAGTAGTTATATGTTAATTAATTGTTAAATGTGAATTGTGAATGTTACATACATGGGTTTAATTTTCAATGCGAAGTCATGTATTAGTTTCAATGAATGTATGAAAATTTAATTTGTGCATAATGCTATTTTGGCTTAAAATGCAAAATGCAAAGTTAGAAGGATTTTTTAACTATGAACATGCTTATGCCTTTGGAAAATGAATGTGATGATTAGGTGAGATAGATGTGTATTAATGAGAAATGAATTTTTGAGATAAGTGAGAATAATGTCAAGAAAATAATGAGAATACATACTTATGTAGCGCATGGTTGTAAGCCAACGTGATTGTTGTGATAATGAGTAAATAAAAATAAAAATGTAAAAATAAGTGAGTATTGATTATGGCATAATCAGCGGTGGGAGTTCGCCTAGTAACTGAGATTAAAGAAAAATTCATATGGTATTTAGGCTGCCCTTTGGTGCACGAGGGTATAGCCTTGTCCCACAGTTTGTCGAAGAACTAGAACCTAGCTATCTCCATTAGTTCAATGAGAGGAATAGTCTACAGTATGAGACACCCCGGAGATTCACCCATTATTTATGTGATCTTTAGCCTAGTCATACCTTATGATTGGTGAGTTTAGGTAGTCCAGTCACATGAATGGAACCTTAATCAGTGTCATAGCCCATGATTTCAGTCTAAGAAAATAAAGAGGATATAAAGTTAGTTGATCATTGCCTATATAAATATATGACATGTCACATATGCTAAGTTGTGACAAGTCATATGAATAATGGGTGAAAGTCACACATTTGAGAATATAGTGACAATGTACCTAGTACATGTGAGATAAAAAAGTTATTTAAAAAAATAAAATGATGAGTTATAATATGTGTGAATATATTTTACATACTTGATTTCTTATACATGTACTTGGTTTATGATTGATATATAACTGCATAAGATGGGTTTTACCTTAGTTACTGAGTAGCTAGACTCACCCGTTTCATTTAACATTTTTCAGGCTCTAACTCCGGTGTTGAGAGGGAGAAGGCTAAAGAGGCTAGGAATTAGCATATTTCTTTCTATATGCCTCTAGCTTAGTTTATTTTGTGTAATAGAATATGTTTGCTAATTTTAGGATGCATGTTATCATACTTGCACTATTTTGTCATGAGGAATGTTAGATTTGTATTTTGAACCCCGAGTCATTGTGTATATTGATATATATTTGTTAATAGGGCTAAAATACTAGTGTAACTATAGAAATAGATATTTGAGCATGTTTTAATTGTTTTGGGTATAAAGTAATGACAATTTACCTCCCCCTCTATTTTTAGTAAAATGGGGTTGAGGAGTGAATTTTTATTATATTAATATTTTAGTGCTTGTGACGTGTTGTACTGGTAGTCCTAGTCCATTGGACATGGTCCAGGTGTTAGGAAAGGCTTTTGGCACATGTTAAAGGTTTTGGACACCTATTTTATGTTAAGGTTGTGAAAAGTGGTTAAAATGGATTTGAATGTCCAACTTCCCAGTGTAACTTATTTTGAAAGTAAAACCTACATCATTAACTAATTCATATAAAGAGTTTTCTGTAGACACCTAGATTACATCATTTGGACATCGGATAAAGAATTAGGGCGATTTAGAATTTCCTCAATTTTACTGTCAAATGATAGCAAATCTGCTAATTTTTTGTGTAACATGCCGCGATGCATGGTGCCTGAGTCACGACGTGTGGATAGAGAGCAACACACCGTGGCGTAGCATGCGTGAGCCGCGACGCATTGCCCTGTATCACAGCACATGTTTTGTTTTTCAACTGTTTTTGACTTCTTTTACTCTTCTGAGGTATCCCATGCTTTCAAAATTTATCTTTGATATAAAGGATTTTGATTGATTTAAACTCATTATTATTTAGAAATCTTAAGATCTCTTGCTTTTGAATTAAACCTTAGTAATCACTCTTTGGATTAATCCTTTGATTACCATGAGTTTTATTTGTTAATTGTATTTAGTGGATTGAAATTTTACAGTTACCTTGCCAGGGTCAACTCACTCACCTATATAATTTAATTTTCTTCAATACTAATGACCATAGGGTATTATACCCCTAATCTAGCCTCTTCATGAACTGGTGGAGACTAGTTAGGTTCGAGTCCCTCATAAAACAAGTGGAAATAGTCTCGAATCAATCATAAAACAAGGGCTACCTCATGATTCTAATGGTTGTTTCCAAGGCAAGATCCTGATTCCAACGGTCGCCGCTAATACCATGTGGGTTAATCAACTACTCCTCTCCTTAGGCGAACTCTCGCTAATGATCATACATACTGTATAGCTTGACACTTTATGTCATTTTAACACAATTATGCATATCTCGACACTAAATGTCATTTCAACACAGTTTATGCACACATTCTTACTCATATAATCATCGCACTCCACTCATCAAAATAGCATATTATTCTTAATTTCACAATAATATACCATCCATTATAATCTTAAATCTCAATATGTATCATACATGGTTTTCCTTTTTCACAACTCATCATATTGCCAATTTGTATCAAATAATATTCACATATCAATGAGTTCAAACATAAAGTTCAACAACTATCTAATTAACATAAAACAATATAAAATAGGTTTTTTTCAGTTACCTCAAACATTTGAGAGCTCAAAGGTTTATCCCTCAATCACAACTCATTTTTCGAGTTAAATTCAAGCTCACCGGTGTTTTGTGAGCTTAGTTTTCAATTACATTAACACACATCACTGTTAATCATTGAAATCATCACTTTCAACATTTAATTTCATACTTTAATAACAAAATTTCCCAATTATAACATCAATTTCACATCTAATGAGCTCCTTTACTCCCATTAATTTCATCTAGCTCTCCACAACTCAATTAATCACCAATATATCATCTAACAACCCAAGATCATCATCAATATCACAAATTACTAACTTTCAACTCTTAAATTCCAACACTTTATTAACCCAAAACTCTCAACTATTAAGTTTAATCACCACACTAGGTTTAGTAGCTCTCATTAATTCCAACCAACATAACACAATTCTTAATCAATATCAATAGCACCCATCTACCTTAAGCACCACTATTTATGGGACTTTAGGGCATAATTTCGTCTATAATTGAGAACCCATGTCATTGATGCATAAAATACTATATTTAAGCTTAAATAACTCAAACAACTCCTATTAGTTTCATTTAGACTAATAGATTCGGATCCATCTAAGTCCAAAATTATCATCTCTTAACTTCAAATCTCACTTTAAAAATGTGTAGAGAGAAGAAGAAGAGGTAAGAAAAACATACCTAGGTGAAATCAAGCTTCAGTCTCCTCTAAAACACCTAAAAGTTAATGCCCTAATAGAGGAACAACTCTCTTCGTCGCCCTCCCTTTGTTTTTTTCCTTTTCTCCCTATTTCAAACCCTTTTTGGCATTTAAAAAAAAACTGATTTTGTAATTTATGCTGCAATGTAAATTTTTAGGCTGTAGCATAACGCATTGGGCCAAAATCCAATTTTTTTTTCTCTTCAATTTCAGCCCAGATGACCCAAGTCATTTCCTAAACCTATTCAAAAGCTAAAACCAAATTCAATAGTTGTCTCTAACTATTTTTAAATTCATTTATATTTAAATTTATAAATTTATCCTTCATTAGTTTAATTAATCAACGAATAATTTTTGGGATGCTACAAGTAATTTCATAGATCAACAACATAAAAAACACATAATCATTTGCCCAAAATTGATTAAATACAGTCTAAAAAATTATAGACTTTTAGTTTATCACAAAGAATTAAATACCTAAATTAATAAAATAAAAAATCATGAACATTGAGAGAATAACATGCATTTTTTTGGTAATAATTTAAACAAAGTTTCATAATCAATGACAACAAATCATAAATTGTGAAGAAATGAACAACTATATGATGAACACATTACTAAAAAAATATGAAGATGGTGAACAATAGATAATAGATCTCAGTCTACTGTTCAACTTCAAGAAACTAAAATTTGATGATTAGTCCTACAAGTATAGGATAATGCTATTGAGAAATATTTAATGGCGAACCTCATAAGGCAAGAAAGAAACGGAAAGATTGTAAAAGGGGGATAAATAAGATGGTCGTGCGTATAGGAAGTTTTTATGTTTGTGCTAAAAGTTAAAGTATTTAGTTAAATGTTAAAATCATTTAGTTATATGAGATATATTTCTAACTAAGTTCATGTAAAAGTTATTATTACATGTTTTATATGTTTGTTCCTATGGATAAAAAAGGAAAATAACTTTCAATTGATTTTGTAAATGAGTCATATTTTAAAATATTTAAAAACTTCATTCATAATTTCTAAAAACTATATTTTTCATGGCCATTGGGTGAATATTCTCTTTAAACAAGTTAAAAAATATTATGAAAAAGAATTCAGGACAAAATAAACAATGTATATACAAAATTCAACTGCACTAATCTAATTAAAAGTTATTAGCATAGTGTATTTTTATATGTATTTAAGCACTTAAGTTTGAGTTAAAAATTAATATTTGTTTTTAAAAAATATTAAAAATTTTCATGCAAATTATTTGTTATAGGACAACATGATTGAGTTAAATTTAAACATCATTATACCTAATCAAAAGTAATTTTTTTCAAAAAAGTTTATACATTCACACGAATTCAATCAGGAGATCTCATGTTTACAATTCCCCTAAATTATGTTACGTACATATAAAAAGTATTGACCTTTTATCTGAAAATTGTTAAAATTTAAGACTATACCTATATTATGAATATGAATATGAATATGGATGTTGTCTAGAAGAATTGCCATGCCACGAATATTCTCGCAAGAGAAGCCTGCCTGTGCGGCTGTGCCAGCATTTCTTTCTGTCTCCCACAAACCTGAAACTGGGCGTCCGAACCCCCAACTGCAACGGAAGCATCGCGCGCTTTTTTCTTCTGAACGCAAAAGAATGTCCTTGGTTCTTAAAAAACCTCCATCGTTAAAAGCGTCCCCATCCCATTCTTCAACTCATCACCTAAAACTGAGACCCATATCCCTCTCTTTCCCCGTTCAACGATTCCCTAGACACCCCCAATTTCGAGTTCCCCTTACAATCCTTAACGCCGCTATCCACCCTTCCATTATTCCTCCAAAGGCCAAAGCTTCCAATACTCTCTCGCTTTCTCAGACTCTTCGCTTCCTCAAACCCTGTCTTGTCTCCGAGCAAAAAATCGTTTTCTTGGGCTGGCTCTGTAGCGTCATATCTGTTTACTCCCTATCCAAAATCATCTCTTTAGTCGGGAAAGTTTCTGCTACTATCAGCGACATTGACGTTATCAAGTTGCGAGACAAAGGTTTAGTATTGGGGGGTTTGGTGATTGTCCGGTTGATTGCAAGTTATGGGCAGCAAGCCTTTTTATGGAAAGCTGCACTAAATGCGGTATATAAGCTTAGGGTTCACGCTTTCGACAGGGTTTTGCAGAGAGAATTGGGATATTTTGAAGGCAAGGATGGCGTTTCCGCCGGGGACATTGCGTATCGGATCACTGCGGAAGCTTCGGACATTGCTGATACTTTATATGCTCTGCTCAACGTGGGTAACTGTCTTTCTGAAGATCTCTTTGGGCTTTCAATGTACATCCGTGGTGTTTGAAATTACAAGTCATCAAGATTCTTCAGAACTTTTCCACGGTCAAACAAGACCTATTTAGTAGTCAGACTCGTGCCTTTTAATCTAAAGTTTGCAATGTATCAACGACTGGGCACAGAATATCTCTTTCTCGTAGAGGAAGAATTCTCTTCCACGTAGGCATCATCAACCTATTTCATTGCATTCGCATTTTCATGAAAGTTGCAGTAGCTAATATTTAGCCGATATGTGCCTATGAAACTTTGGCCGCTTTAGGCATCCTTTGCATGTAGCCGCAAGTATGCTATTCATTCGCATGCTCACATTTCTCATTTATTCACTTATGATAAGCTCTTGTTTGTGGCAGACCATAATTCCCAGCACTCTTCAGTTATCAGCTATGATGACGCGAATGCTGGTGATCAGTCCTGTCCTTTCTTTGATTTCAGCTTTGGTGAGTTAAGAGCTATTCTGTTAGTTCATATAACTTGACTGGCAGCGGAAATCTTGTTCTTTTACTGCCGAGGGAAAATTTAATCTGGGTATTTTATTTTCAAATTGCAGGTTATTCCTTGTATGGCACTTGTTGTTGCCTTTCTTGGTCAGAAACTACGTTCAGTATCTAGAAAAGCACATCTTAGCATTGCCACTCTCTCGGCATATCTAAATGAGGTAGATTTGTGTGACGGTTCATCTTCACTTTACCATCAGAGAAGGCTTAAATACTATCTCTTGTTTGTGAATCCTGTTGTTCCATTTGAATACACTATGATGGGGCACCTCATTCCACAGTTATTGCTTGTTAACTGATATGTTAATGTTGCCTCAGGTCCTTCCTGCAATTCTTTTTGTGAAAGCAAACAATGCAGAGCTGTCTGAGAGTGGCCGGTTTAAGAGGCTGGCTAGGATTGACTTTTTTGAATGCCTGAACAAGAAGAGGATGAAAGCAGTTATTCCTCAGATTATACAGGCTATTTATTTCGGCGTGCTATTTATACTTTGTGCTGTTTCAATTGTGATTTCAAGAGGATCATTCAGCAGCTGTAACTTAGTTTCGTTTGTGACATCATTGCTCTTTTTGATTGAACCAATCCAGGTAGCGTTATCTGTGGAGACCTAGTTGCTTTTTCTCTCCATCGTGTTTGTTTGCTCCAACCATCCTCTATTTTTTTTCCTTTCTCCTCCATAGATTTAGGATTCATTTTTCCCATCAACGCGAAAACCTTTTTGGTTTACGTTAGACATTTATGTGATTACAACCATGTTCTGCTCATCTTATCATTAAATTTCATTTGCAACCTCCTTTCTTTTGCTTTTGAAAGGTCATAATAGTTTAACAATGTTTTTCTCTGTTTGCTTTTTTTTTTTTTTTGGCTAATTGTCATTTGCATTTTTATCATGGTTCAGTCTTTGAGGAGCTGTCTTAAGTTATCATTCTGAAAATAAAGAATCACGCAGGATGTGGGAAAAGCGTACAATGAATTGAGGCAGGGAGAACCAGCTATTGAACGCTTGTTTGATCTGATCAAGTTCACAGATAAGGTACCTTTGTCCTTTTATGACATCTGACCAAGACACTTCTAAATTTGGAACAGCATTCTGCTGAAAGTTTATAGCAGTCTTGATAATGAAAAAGGGGGTATCTTGAAGAAAAGAGGATATTCTGTGATGTAATTTTCAGTTAGGATAATCCATTTCACTTTGGTAACAAATGCATTTATTCTGCATTTTAGGTAGTTGAGAAACCAGATGCTGTGGATTTAGACTCTGTTAGAGGGGAGATAAACTTTTGTAACGTCTCATTCAAGTATGGTGAAGAAATGTCGCTGGTTCTAAATGGACTGAATCTTCACATTGAAGCTGGAGAGATAGTTGCTCTTGTTGGTCCCTCTGGTGGAGGGAAAACAACACTCATAAAACTGTTGCTTCGTCTTTATGATCCCCTGGCTGGTTAGTCATTTGAAGATATTTACTTATTTATATTTATATTTCTACTAAAGCCCTGCATTAGTTTATATACTCCCATGTGGGCTCACAATTTTTGTTGTATATACCAGAAGATTCTACAATCATTAGTTATTATTCTGTCCAATGGCATTTGGTTGTATTTTTATGCTTGCAGGCTGCATACTTATTGATAATCATAACATCCAAAGCATTCGGTTGCAAAGTTTGAGAAGACATGTTAGTCTTGTTTCTCAAGATATAGTAAGTGACTCAAGTTCTTGTATTCATTTACTGTCTGTTTCTCTTATGAAAGTAGTGCGTTTGGTACCTGCGTTGCTGAACCATTATTTGTAAATTGACAACGCCATGTTAACTTCTTATCAATGTTATTCTTTACTGGTTCATAGCTTACATTTGAGTGGCAGTATTTCTTTGACATCTATATGGTTTTCTCTACTAATACATGTGTATGCTTTAGACACTTTTTTCGGGAACAGTTGCTGAAAACATTGGTTATAGGGATCTGACAACAGAAATTGACATGGAGAGGGTAAAACATGCAGCACAAATTGCTAATGCTGATGAATTTGTAAGAGAACTTCCAGAAGGATATGAAACCAATATTGGACCGAGGGGCTCAACTCTAAGTGGAGGACAAAGGCAAAGGTTTGTTATTGGATTCTTTTATGTTCTATTTTCAAACACCACGTCTTGTCTTCTTCTTGAAAGGTTTCTGATTAACACAGATTGGGTATGTTGGCTGTTTGTGAAACTTCAGCTCTGATTTACTGCCAAGTTTACTGAAATTTACAGGCTAGCCATTGCCAGGGCACTATATCAGAATTCTTCTATCTTGATACTGGATGAGGCAACGTCTGCTTTAGATAGCAAATCTGAGTTATTGGTGAGGCAAGCTGTAAAGCGTTTGATGAAAAATCACACTGTAAGAAAACTAGCTCTGATCTAGCGGAACATGTGTGATGTGTATGGTTGTGTCTTGAGGATTTTGTTAGATGGGATGTATTTTTGAACTCATCAGGATTGCCTTGCTGAGACCTTGACTACTTGGGCGGATATTTTTTGTTTAAAGTTTTCCACTCTGTTGATGATTTTTGTACTTTTTTCACGCCCTGAATAAAAATTCAAATATTTAGCGTTGAGATATTATTTCTTCCCTTGTTGATAGGTGCTGATAATTGCCCATCGCATGGAAACGGTTCGGATGGCTAAAAGAGTATTCCTCTTGGATAGGGGGAAGCTAGAAGAGTTGCCTCATTCTGCTATATGGGTTGGTCGCAAGGACTCGTTGTTATCATCTGGTTTGGTGATTTAAATATTTCTTGTATAGGAGACTTTCACATCCTAGTCTGGTGCTTTATGTCAATTGAATCTCTAACGTTCCTTTATATCTGGAGAAGGTGGAGCAGCGTAGACTTTGTACATTCTTTTTTTTCCCCCAAGGCATTTATCTCCAATAAAAGAACATTTCTGGCTCGAAAAACTTAACATGCCAGTCAATGCTATTAGTTTACTATGTCACCAAGAGAGTCAAAACAATTTTACATGGAGGACCTGGTAAATGCGTCCCGAAATGTTATGAACTCTGCTAATTGAAAGTGGATCTACACCCTTGCAATTTTCTTTCAGGGGTCAATCATCAGAGCTCGCCCAGAAAAATATCAGAGATGATCATTATGCATGAGGATTTAGTTGGGAACAGAGAGTTTGCGAGCAGCTAATCTATCAATGAGAAACAGAGGTGACAGTAAAGCCAATCCCTGAGCAAGTTGTTTCCTATGATTCTTCCATAGTGTTTTGGGGATGGCTATTTCTCTCATAATTTCTTGGTTACGGCCAAGACAGCTCCTGCCACTGCCACAATTATGCCTGAAACTACAATGGCCGTTTTTATTTTGCGCAAGGTGTCTTCCTTGTCTTATTGCTTTTCCTTCTCCCCGATCTCAGCGTGTTCCTCTACAGCACAACAGAGAAGGGAACGTCTGATCAATATATTTATAAAATTAAAACCATTCATGCCATTTCATTTCATGGCTTATCATCAACTCCTCTCATATATTGCTGTTCATATGAACAGTATCGGCTCAATTATTAGACTTTGTTCCTTCTTTTTTCGATTTTATTTTTCAAGTTTCGAAGTTTTGTATTAAAAAAAGGTGGTTAAAGAAGTCATTTTCACTAAAGGGGCTTGGGATTAATACTGCTCTCCCACCGCCAGTGTTTTAGTTGACAGTTGGTTTGATGTTATATTCCATATGGCTAGCCACATGGCATTGTTTTTTTTTATTAAAAAAAAAAGTGATTCAGGTGGCCATTTCTCCTCTTCTTCCTCTATGCATCTCTTTCATTCGCAGTTGTCTCTCCCCACAAGCCAAGCCCTTCTTCTTCATCGCGGCGGCTCCTTCACTCTCTGTCTCAACCTCCTTCGCTGCCTCTTCCTGGACGGGTCCTTCTACTATCTTTGCTCCGTCAATTGCCTTCTTTCGCACCTGTTCCTAATCTTCTTCGCAAACCTGATTTATTAATATTGTGAGGGTGCTCACCGTATGGTTATTAAGATGGCTGTGGGCGGCCTAAATATCTAAGGCACATTATATGAGAGTGTAAAGTTGTTATTCTTAGCGAAGTTTAAGTGAAGAGAATTTCACGGCCTTCGTCATCTGTGACTGAAGTGTTGGCTGTAATTTTCTTCCAAGAGAGTTTCACGGAAGAGAAAAGAGTTAGCCTGGGTCTCTCAATTTGTGGGGTCTGTGTCCTACTTCTAAACGCAGATTGTGAAACGAGAGTACCCAGTGAGGACTTGAGGTTCTACGAGTAAATCCCATACGGGTCTTGAAATTTCTGATCTGCACAGCCCTTGTAAACCAAGCTTGTGTTGTCCGCAGATGAAATACGACAAAGAAGGAGCGCGATAACAGTGAAGAGAAACACATGGTGGAGGGAGGAAGGTTTTCTGATCATACCCATTTATGGATTTCTGTCGAGAACGAAGACTTCCTTCAGAGTTTTAGTCCATGAAAGCTTTTGGAGAGGGTTATTAGAGCGATGGGAGGTTCTGGAATCTGGACAGAAGCATATAAAGAGTTTTGAATTTTTGGCGATTTGCTCTGAAAACAGAAAGCAAAATTCTGTTTCGCTATATTTGTGTGAGATTTGGACTTTATTTTGGATTTTTTTTTTGAACAGGACCAGTTTAAAAATTATAAATGACTGCGTTATCTCGAGTCGGCGAGCTTTTCTCCTCCAGAACGGTGGAAGTCGGCGAACTCGTTGAGATCAATGCGGCTTTCGCCATTCTTGTCGAGCTCGGCCATGATGCGCTTGATCTCCGTCGACATCGTTTTAGAGTCGAGTGTATGCAACATCGTCTTGAGCTCGGAGTTGGAGATCATATCGTCGCCTTTAACGTCAAACTTGTTGAAGATCCAGCGAGTTTCGTCGTCCATCGGGGAGGCCAGGGAACAGAGAGACAGAGCAGTGGGCTTCCGTGGCTGCGGAGTGTTGAGAAATGGGGGCAGGGCAATGTTGCATTCTTTTAGAAGTTCCACCAATCATTAAATGCAAAATATTAAAGCCCAAAGACAATACAGTGAGAGAGTTTAAGCTATTCCGATTTCCGACTTGATACTGGTATGTAAAAAAAAAAATCTTTAACAATCTGTACGTACGAAATAAACGATGATCAATTTGACAAGAAAATTTCACCTTTGGCAAGTAATTAAATCACGTTACAAGCAAAGAGCCTCAATTCGGCCATGCGTCAATGTAATAATCTGACGTACTTCCATTCGAGTCAAGAACAGTAAACATGCCATGTTTAAAGTGATTTGGAGAAGATCTTATCACCATAACACTGTCCTGATGTGAAATTTGCGGGGAGAAAAAAAACTACCGTAGCTAAATCCAATAAAAAATAAATATATTTTGCAAGAGTTGAAAAAACGGACGGGTTCAATTCTTAATTCTTATAAACTTGATCCTTATAGATCTAGTTCATAAGGGCTTGAGTCTTTAAGTTTGATTTTTCATTTTTCACTTTTTTTTTAAGCTCGGCCTTTATTGAAAGGACTCAGGGCCCGACCTATAAGCTCTGTTCTAAAAAAATTAAATTAAAATTAATTACTATAAATTAATTAGAATATTTTAAAATTAAAAAATTAAAAATTCTCATAATCTTTTAGAATTTAAACAGCACACATTTAAAAATTTAGTAAAAATTCAAATCTTAGTTTAAAAAAGTTCATTTTTTATAAATACACAAATATAATAATTATAGACAAATAAAAAATATTAACAACTTTATATTGTAAACTGATATTATTAAACTATATTAAATTAATTTTAAAATAAATTAAAATTAATAATAATATAATACGTGTAGGATCAAGGCTTCAGGCTAGCAAGTCCTTCTTGATAGAGTTGAAAAAATGGGTGGGTTCAGCCTTTACAGGCTTAGCCCTTAAGGGCCTAAACCCTTAAGCTCAGTTTCCTATTTTTAACCCCATTTCTAAGACCCAATTCTTATTTGAAGGGCTCAGGGATAGACCCTTAAGTCCTATTTTAAAAAATTAAAAAAATTAAAATAAATTAACCACTCTAAATTAATTAAAATATTTAAAATAAAAAAATTAAAATCCTCATAATATTTTAGAAATTAAACAATATATATTTAGAAATCTAAATTAATTATAACATTCATCATTCAAAATTTAAATCCTTCTCATCATCATCATTTACAAATAAAATATTAAAATCCTCAGAAATAGGTCCACTTATTAAAGGTGAAGGAGCTTCAATATCAATATATTATTCAATCACTTTTTCCTCATCGAATGACAAATGCAAGGGGGGGCAAGGGGGAGTTCCCCCCATTTCAATATTCCTTCATTTTTTTATATTTTTAAAATTTTCTTTATAAAAAGTGTGAAAATTAGTTTTTGCCCTCATATTTTTTATGGTTTTAAATTTTGGCCCCAATGTTGGCAAGTCTAGATTCGTCATCACAATTCTCATCTACAATAAATATTAACAAAATTGTATTATTATTAAATATACACATTCATATATATCACAAGACAAAATATTTAGATATATCACAAGAATAAGAGGTGTGAGGCAGAGGGAGAAGCAATCACAAGTTCAAGGTGAGGAGTGATTAGGGTTCATGCACAATTTAGGAATTAAGATTAGGAAGGGTTTCAAGCGACAAGTCCACAACTTCAAAGTTTAAACTTGTGTTTGGTGTTTCACTAAAAAAATATATTTAACAAGACTCAAGGCCCGCCTGAACTTGAGCTCTTTTTTACAGGGCTTATTAGGGCCAGACCCTTAAACTCAGTTACTTTAAAAAAATAATTTTTAAAGCATGAACCTTATTTAAATAGGGCCTCAAGCCCAACTTTTATTCCTGGTTCTACTTCTTGGCTTCAAAAGTGTATACCACCAAAGAAAAACAATTAATAATAATCTAATAGGGTTTGAAGGGCCACTTGAGTTAGCATCCTTTTTTACAGGACTTATCAGGGTCAGGCCTTCATGCTCAATCACTTTAAAAAAATTTAATTTTTAAGGCTCGAACCCTTATTTAAACATACTTCTAAGCTTAACCCTCTAAGCCCAACCTTTATTTTTAGCTATAATAAAGTGTGTGGAGGTAAACAAGAGTAGTGTTCGAGAAAACAAAGCATGATCTTTTTGTGTCCAAAAAATAAGAGCTTATTCCCTCCATTGAAAAATGTAAGATATTTTTTAACCGAATCTCACTCTCAATAAAGTATTTATTTACTTTCAAATTAACCCTATATTTTTATATTTACCCCAATTAAACACCTTATAATAAATATAAAATAATTCATTAATAAGGACACTTTTAAAAAAAAGGAAATCATTACACCTCAAAAGACTAAAAATACATTACATTTTTAAACATCTAATTCCTCAAAAAATATTTTACATTTTTGAATGGGGGAAGTATTTCGTAATGTATTCTATGACTAGTTTTCTATTTTTAGAATAAAAAAAGATAAAAAAAATTTACTTGACAATATATTTTTAGAAAATGTTTCGAAGAATAATAAAAGAAATTAAATATTATTGTAAAAAGTAGGAAGACAAAATATATCTTAGATGTTTTTGGTATTATTGTTTTGAAAAACAAGTAAAAATACAAACAGAACATGTTTTTATAATTATTTTTATTCTCAAAATATGTTCTAATAAAATATTAATTCTTAAAATAATAAAATAAAAATAATTTTAAACAAATCTTAAACTTTAAAAGTTCATCATCCATTAGGAAGGGAAGGGAAGAGAGAGACAAAGCAGTAGCCTTATGTGAGTGTGGACTGTGGAGAGTTGAGAAATGATGGCAGGGCAATGTTGTACCTTTTTTAAAGTTTTGAAAAAAATGGCTCCAAAAAAAATTAAAATGGCATGCATTCCTTATAAAAAAATTTTAATATATTTTTGCTCTTAAAAAAAAAAAGGTTTTAAAGTTTCAGACGGAAGGAAAAAGAATGTGATGGGAGGTTTTATCAAATGGTCAGTTTCTTTTCACAGCTGAATGTAGAAAGTAAAGTTTCTTTTCACAGCTGAATGTAGAAAGTAAAGTTCA